ATAGTAGTTAGATAGTATCTCTATATCTATGGTCTATAGTATAGAAGGTACTAGCAAAGGCAGTCGACTCTTAGTACTAGAGACTGTGGTGACTCTTGGACCTTGAACTAGTAGGGAGTGAGACTTGAGAGAGTGCCGGTAAGACTTTGAGTATAGTCTTTATTAGCGGGTAGACTTCTACTCAAGATAGTACTTATGCTTTTTATATATTGGGCCGTTATTAGGTAAGGATAGTTATTCCCGCTTCCGCTTAGTAGTTTGTAGTCTCCTATTATCCTCGTCTGACTTGGGAGTATTACTAAACTCGTTTGTTACTATAACTATTCCTATAGCTCCCTAACTTGTCTTGACTAGGCAAGCCCAGATCTTTTATTCTTCTTACTAGATAGATATTACTAATCTTTCCGGTTATTAGTACTGCTGCCATATTTTCTTTTACCTCTTACTATAATTACCTGCCGCTCTTATTATTATTATTATAGTCCTTATTCTCTTGCTCTTCCTTCTGCCTCTATCTCGGGGAAGTTATTAATATCGTACTACTTATTGGGATTAGAAGGAGGAGCCGGAGTTATTAAGTCGGTAGTAGTCTCTGGGTTATTGAGAAGACCCTTGTCTGCTACTACTCTTTCGGTATAAGGATTACTCGAGTCGTTGCCGCCTAGTAGTATAATTGGATCTTCTATACTATATTAGAAAAACTGGTTGTCTATTTCTATAATAAAAGGTATTAGGTATACTCACCTAGACTACCGCCTGAGTTATTGCTTAGTACTAATCCATTATTATTAAAAGAGCTGCCTTTCTCTATAGCCGTATCTCTAACTTCGAAGGCTAAGTTTTTCGGATACTAATCCTCTATTATAAAGTACTCCTTCTATAGTATAGTATATAGCAGTTGTTTAATAGAGAGAAGGTCATAGTCATCGTTATTATTATTGCTATTATAGACTATACCGGTCTCTTCTTAGATTTCTATAGGTTAGTTACTATTACTACTAGCCAAATATCTCGATCTCAGAGCTTACCTCTAATTCCAAGCTCGTCTTCTCTACTATTAGCTACTGCTAGTAGGGCCATACTGAGAGCTGCCTTGCTAAGCTTGCTATACTAGAGCTTATCGAGGATACTGGATTGTTTCGGGGCAGGTTTGCGGGAGGCCATTCCTAATACTTAGTAACTGGTATTGCCTCTGCTACTGTAGACGGACTCCGAGAACTTCGCAAGATATATCGGTGGCTTTTATTAACGAGATTCGATAGATAACCGTAATTAGCTTGGGGCTATATGTTATTAATCTTAGATCTGGTAGTTAATAGTACTATATGGGGGCGATGCTATCCGAACCGGAGCTTTGGGATATACTTGCGGCAGATGGTTAGAGTTGTATTAGGTACTATATATGGCTTTTATTACTTTGCAGGTTATAGGTCTTTATTACTAGTATTGCAGGTATTATTATTATTATTGGTATTTACGGAATAATAGTATATATATCTTGGTGCCTCTGCTTCTCTCCCCGTTTACCCGTATTAGGATCGCCGCTCCGTACCGGGCCTGGTGGAGTAGAGGGAGTATAGCCGTACTTATTATTAATTGGAGTTACTAGATGCTTGGGATAGATCTCAGACTATACTCGGCTTAAGGGATTATAGGAAGACTTGTATAGGCCGATAATGATTCTACTTGTTGCTCTCCTAAGCCAATCCCGGTTCTTTCTCTAATTTAGCCATATTCTCATCTATCTATCTATTATTACCGCTGTTAGAAGACTTGGGGAGGGGGTGGAGCGCAGACTTTACTAATGTACTTCGAGTAATACTGCTAATACCTTGCTGGTGGGTCTGATCTTGCAGTGGTTGGGCTTGTACGGAAGCAGAAGGTACGCTGTACTGCTCGTGAGACCCAAGTCCCGGGGTTGTCTCCTTAATATAGCGGCCCTCCTTAACGTTATACTATGGACCAGATATATTAATGGACTCTGTCGGTACTGAGGAGAGTTCTGAGGTTAGAAGGGAGTTATATAGACTTGCGTCTAGTTTAATATGCCCGGTATCGACTTTACCGGAAGCGCCTTTGGCCTGCTCCTAGTACGTGTTTTATCCAAGTTATTGTCATTATCGAGAATTACTAGTTAATCTTTATATAATTAGTGGATCGCTTCTGTATATAAGGATAGTCGGTATACCTACCTCTCCCGCCCTAATATTCACCCGACCCTAATTATGTTCGGTTAGCTTGTAGTTTATCCCTGTAAAGAGCTAGCTATTCCAGGTACTGAAAGGTGGACCCGGTCTTTGAGGCCTTAGTCGAGATCTTCGGATATAAAGCCGTCCGCTTCTCGAGAGATAGAAGATTTCCGTCTATTTACCGTTATTATTATCAAGAGTATACTTATATTCTAGAGTAATAAGTCAGAATAATTCACTTTTAATATAGGTTTTTAATATACCTTTAGCTCTTGCTACCGTATTTCTATCTGCCTTAATTCGATATCCAGAACGGGAAAGAGTCGCCGCAAGCCTGTATGCTTTCTGGCTGCTGCTAGAGTTGGGTGAACGGATTAAACGGCTAGGTTTAGTAGTCTAGAGAGTATTTCGCTTGAAAAGTGGCAGGTTTAATAGAGGAAATGTAAATGGAATAAATCTCGTATTCTTAAGGGTAGCTATTATAAAATAAAGTAGGCAGAAAGCAAACTAGTTTAAGTATATATATAATATTTACTAAGGGAAATTAAGTGGCTTAAGTATAACCCGTAAGCGCCTACTCGTCGAAACTGGGCTTTTCTTATTTATATATTAGCTTTGCTATTTATAACTACTATAGGCTATTCTGAAATTAAATAATCCGGTCCTATATATGAAATCTTAGCCCCTCCAGGCTCCTGCTAGAATTTATTTATTATACTAATCCCTAGTCTTCCTCGGCTTTACTAATAATTAAGAAATCGGCCTATAATTAGTCTAATCCTGTTCGAAATCTAATCTATAATACCTATCTAATAGAGCTTGCGGTTATTTCTGCGGAGCTAAGCCCAAATTGACTTTCCCTTTATAGAATTGAGACTCTGCGGTATAGATTATACTATACTAATTCTAGTGGCAATTATAGTCCTACTAGGGTAGTACCCTGGAACCAAATAATTCTTGAAATAGCCTTTAAATACCAGATCTATTATTCTAATATGTAATAACTACTAATTGAGCTCTTTCCGAGGTTATATAACGTATCTTCGTACTATTTTCTATATTAGCCTGCCTGCTTATAACCTATTCTCCTACTACCGGTGTTTTATATTTGGTCCCTAGGATACTTAATAGAAGCTTTAATAATACTATTATTATATAGATTATTACCTGCTATAGCTACGTTAGACAGAAATCGGTCCTACTTATTATAGATTAGTCTAGATTAAGGCATTAGTATATGTCGTTGTCTCTACCGGCCTAAGGGAGCTTACCGAGATCCTTCTCGTTATAGATTAGCCCAGATTAGCCCAGATTAGCCCAGATCCAGGTATATGCGTATATTGTTTTCTCCGTAGTATAAAAGAGCTTACCGAGATCCTTCCCTTAATGCGGATTACTATAGTATAGCCAGGTAGAAGCTGGCTATATTATTATAAGGCATTACTTCTATTAGCCAGGTTATATTATATAAAAGGAATACCAAGGGCAGGCCTCTACTATTGCATTTACTAAGGGAGTATTACTATAAGGATTATAATAGTATAACGGCGAGAAAAGGGAGGTGAGGTGAGCTTATACTCGTATCTCAGTTAATGTAATATCCTCCAGAGGAATAACCGCTATTGCGATAGTTAAGAGGATTGAATCCAGAGTAGCAGATTGAGGGTTTTGGCTTCAAACTAGCTGTACCGTTAAGGCTTTTAGCTATAGCAGGGCCGCAAACCAACTATTATAACCCTCGATATAACTGCCATACTGTGCCTTATTATGCGGTCTTATATAAATAATACCTTGTATAGTATCTAGTAGGGTTATATAATAGGTAGTATACTTATAAGAAGTACTAAATGTTAACTTCCAGGATTTATATTATTGTCTCTTTAGCCCTTTAATACCGTATAGAATTATTAATAACTACTATTAAGGTTAGTATTATATATATTTGAGTATAACGTCTTGTGGCAAACAGGAGTTAAATGAGTATTTAATAGATCGGTATGTATTTGTATACGTTAAAGTTGAAATTTGCGAGGTTCGGTAAGTCGTTTGGTATGGCTCTTGTAAACAGGGATCCAAAATCGGCCCCGAAAGAACCCCTGCCTTATTCTTTCCAATTTTAGCCAGCGGCAGTCGTAACCGAGGAGCCCAAACGGGTCGCCCCTGTCCACCGTGGGCTTACCTCCTTGGCTCACTTGCTCAGCCTGGCTCAGGTTTTGCTCACCTACAGCTCAGGCTATAGCAGCAGCTGCTCAGGTCCAAAGACGGAAATGGAAAATGCTCGTGTCGAGATTCCGATATCGAATAAGCTGTTATAGAGGTCCTAGAGTCAGATGTTATACCAGAGGTCATGCTAGAGGTTATGCCAAGAGTTGCAAGTGGAAGGGCAACTCGTTCAGGGAGAGTATTAGGATAGTTATAATAAAACGATGGTATTTCAGAAAGACACCAAATGGTTATTAAATATCTCAAATACCACTATTAAAAAGTTGTGGTGTATGAGATATTGAACCCTGGTGCGCCAGCTCTGGCTCTCTTATACGCCAAGAGAACGGACTTGGATCTGATTATGGGTTGGTTGTCGTCTTGGGAGACTATGAAGGAGGGGTAGAGGAGGGAGAACACAGAATTCATTGATTTAGTGGCGTCGCTGAGGATGGAGAATATGGATAGGGTTGTGGGCTGGTCTCTTACACCGCTTAGGCTTCGAATCTTCAGAGATCCTTCAGAACGATCCGGCGACAAAGATGATAGAGTCGCTCTGTATATTGCACCTGAGTATCTATATAGCTGAGTATTGTGTCCTGTGCTCTAGTTGTCTCCTTAGTTGTTCCCTAGTCAATTTAACTGGGGTATCATCTTGATTGATACTGGCCACGACCTGCGTACTGAACCTCCCCTTAAATGAAAATATGAAAAGGATATAATAGCCTTAATAGTTTCAAAAGTACATGATCCCTCAGCTAATACGCTCTTAAAATCCTTCAACTAGTGTACTGTACCTCCACCTCACCCGCCGCCCAATGGTTCTCAAATGCGTCTACACTCCCTTCCAGTACTTCGTGAGGTATTCTTCCACACTAACAGGTTTGATATCAGGGAACTTAGAATTGACGTTAGCCTTAAACTCAAGCCCCCCGTCGACGATAAGCTGCATGAACTGGTGGAAGAAGAGTTGTTCTGGGTCGGGATTTCCAGCCAGCACAGTCTTGATCTGGCTTTCAGGGTAGTGTGTTTTCTCAAAGCTCGCTGCAGTGATACTCTCTGCCAGATCGACAACCTCCGCATAACTCTTCTCGTCGCCGACGATCCGGCTATCTGGATCCCAATGTTGGAGGTCCAGGCTTGCTGCCACAAATTTGCCTACGTCTCTCATGTTTGTGAAAACTACTTTCTGGGAGCCGTCCCCGGGAATCAAAGCTGTGCGCTTCTTCATGTCGATTAGAAAAGGGGGTCCAGCATAACCAGAGAGTGCTTCGGCTTCATTGCGGGATGTTCCCAGGCCCCAAAGATTCATCCAAATACCATTGATGAAGCGCGTGTACTCCAACCCAGATGCTTTAACAGCATTCCAAACCGTGGTCTTCGCTGCATAGGCATTGACAGAGCCATAATGGTCTGTCCCCCAATCCGAAGGTACAAAGCGTTTGACGCCAGCATCTTCAGCGGCTTTCAATAGAGCAAGCTGCGAAGTTCCGAAGTCTGGACCATATGACCAGATGCAGCTGATCACGGTATGTACTCCTTGGAGAGCAGTTTCGAGACTCTGGGCAGAGCTATAATCCACCAAGCTCACTGACACCCCTTTTTCCTCCAGAGCTGGTCGTTCTGACCGAGACAGCACCACCACACGATGCTTTTTGGTGGCCAAAATCTCGCGGACGACATTGGAGCCGATACCTGTAGTGCCGCCGGCAATGGCGACAGTAACCATAGCGAAAATGAATTAGGAGTAAAATGAATTCGTAAGGGGAATATAAACTTGAAAACTGTTCAATGTCATGTCTACTGTTTCGGCGGAGGGAGTAATATATATCGTCTTCAATCTTTATCTGCTTGTCTCTGGCCAGGGTTTCTAATTCTAAGCTTGATGAAAATCAGTTGCTTCGAAATCAACCCTGCAGAAAACATGTCGGCCGAAAGTGGCCGGCAGCACTATCATCTTCAGCTTAGTTAATTTCTCGGCCGAAAGTGGCCGGCAGTACTGAGGCCATTAGCGGGCTAGCGGACAAATCCGAGAAGCGAAAAGTGATTTTCTGATTTTCTGATTTTCGCGCCCACACCCCCCCCTTATTCTTGACTACTCCTAATCCCCCCTTAGCTTGCATGGTCCGTAAGGCAAATCCCATGGATTACGAGGCATATCTCTATCTCCCTTACTCTCTATATCCTCTATACTACCTATATTACTCGAATTATCTATATCTCCTTTGTCCCCTTCTCCTCTAGTATCCTTACCCTCCTCTGCTATAACCTCCTTCCCTATTGCCTTCTGACCTTGTATCTGTCTTTGTGCTCGCTTTCTATATCTTGTAGGCGGTCGAGGCTTTAGTATAAAGGGTTTTGCAGATATAGAGCAAGGCTTTCCAGACTTAGTAGGATTAGTATTAAGTTAATAGAAAGTATAGACTTTACTATTATTATTATATCTATAATTTATATAAGTACTATCGAATTCGCCTTCTATAACTATATAGTATTTGAAAGGGCCTCTCGGTCTCTTCTTATTACTATAAGTAGTATAAGCTTAAGAGAATTCGGTTCCGTAAGTATATACTAAGCTTGCCTCCAGATTTGCCTTACCTTTCTCTAATTTTTTTAGCTTCTTACCCTGGTATAGCTTTATCTTTCTAACTTTAGCCTTATTATTAATTTGCTTTACTACTTTAGTAGTATTATTAAATAATATAAGGAGATTAAAGTATTATTATAGAAAAGAAGAAAAAGATTATATATGAAGAAAAAGTCAAGAAGTAGAGAGGTTTATTAGTTAAATATATTAATAGAAGAGGATATTATAGACTAAGTCTAGATTATTAGAGAATATATTATAAATATTATCTTTTTACTTATTTATAGCTTTATTGCCTTTTCTATTACTTTTGCCTTTACTAGAGCTATTACCTAAAGCTATATTTAATATATCTTTAATAAAGAAGAGCTTTAATAATAGTATTATATATTAGAATTAAAGTTATTTTTGGAAGAAGGTTAAGGTTAAGGTTAAGGCTAAGGTTAAAGCTAGTATAGCTATATCTTTATTATTTATTTTTGGGATATAAAGATATATATTTAATATAATTATTTAAATCCGAATAAATTTATAATAAATAATACCTGAAAATAGAAATATTAGTACTTAATAGCCCTAGATTAAGTATATTTAAATATTAAAAAAATTATAATTTTAGGTATTATAGTTATAAAAATAAAGATATAAATATTCTTTTTCTTACTAACTCATAAAAGCTAAGGTATACTAATAATAATTAAATTATATTTGACTCGTATAGTTAGCTAATTTACTTTACTAATTATAAATAATTCGAGATAATTTAAATTTCCTTAAATCTCTATATATAGCTTATTATATAAATTTCTATATCTCTATATTTAGTAATACTATAATTATAATTTTTAGATAAGAAGAATTCCCTTATTCTAGTATATATAATTATATTTATTTCTTATTTTTCGAATATATAATTATTAAATTAGAGAGGCTTAAGAATTCTAAGTAATACTTTTTCCTAAAAGATATATATCCTTAATAAATAGTAAAAGTAAATATGGAATTATATAATAATATAACTATCTTATACTAGTAACTTTATTTTCTATAAAACTATAATTCTATTCTATTTTTATTCTAAAACCTTTATTCTTTTTTTATATTTTTCGATTTTACTATTAATACTAAAAGCTTCTGCCCTCTACTAATATTTTCTCTATTAATACCTTTATTAATATCTTTATTAATACCTCTATTAATATTAAGAGCTAGTATCTAATTACCTTATAACCTTCCTCTCTTTCTCTGAACCCCTTTTTACCCCTTCTCTAAATCCCTTTTCCTTACTCCTCTTCCTTTAATACTTCTTTTATTAATATTAAAAGCTAGTATCTAACTGCCTTATAATCTTTCTCTCTTCCTCCAAACTTCTCTAAACCTCTCCTCCAAACCCCTTCTCTAAACCCTTTCTCCTTTAATACTTCTACTAATAATACCAAAAGCTAGTACCTAATTACTACTTCCGGATTACTTTTATCCAGAACTCTTATATTATAAGTCTTTAATCTACTTGCTTTTTAGAAAGCTAAATTTTAGATCCCTTCTTTCCTTTTCTAATATTTCCTTTTTCCCTTTTCTAATATCTCTTATACCTTCGGGCCCTTTGGGAATACTTTCTCTCGAACTTCCAAAAAAGAGGCTAACTCCTATTTAGATCCCTCCAAACTTTAATATCTCCTCCCCTCCTTTAATATTTATAAAAGCCTTTGGGCTATTACTAAATACCCCTATTCTTTATCTTGAAATATATACTAACTTATTCTTATAGGAAATAGCCCTTCTTTCTCTAATCTCAATTTCTTTAATATATACTTCTTGCCTTTGGGCTATTTAGATATCTTCCCGTTTGCTTTTATAGAATATATACTAATTTACTTTTTAGTTCTCCTTATCTCACCTTTCCTTTAATATTACTATATATATACCTAGTTAGTACTAGTTCTTATAATTTATAGTTAGGCTTTCTATTTATTAAATACCCGGATATTTTATTTTACTTTTACTTTATATATTTTATTTTATATACTTTACTTTTCTTTTATTATAAGTTAGGATTCAAATAGTATTTACCTTAAATACTTATACTCTCGGATATATAAGATTCCTATAAATCTTTTGGGATTATAAACTAGCCTATTTTGGTTCGGGGAAGCTTTTTTGAAAGTATTTCAGGAATTATAATATTTATTATAATTCCTCTTAAAGATTAATATAATATAGGTATTTCTGGTCTATTCTCTCTCTATAAAGTAAACCGCTGCCCTAAGTCTATATAAAAGTCCTAATTATTTCTCGAATTAAAATATAGGTACTTTTTATTTCTATTAAATTAGATATAAAGAATAGCAGGCGCCTTTGGGCTAGATTATAGTACTAGTTAAATACTAAGACTTCCTATATCTATCTCGCAAACTTATAGTTTAAGATATATTATATTTAATAGGGCTTCTATATCTAATTACTTTATATTATAGTAAAATATCTTAGTATTATAATTAGGAGAGTTCTGCTTTATAATCTTATCTATTACTTATAGATTTTCTAGCTAATAAGTCTTGGCTAATAGCTAAGAAACTTATTAGCTATTCTATCTAAAGCCTCTAAAAGCGGGAAGTTATCTTAATAAAGACTTAGTATTAAAAATAGGTTTAACTAATTAATCTAAATAAGGAGTTTATAGTAAGAGTCTTTATATATAGGTAATTTCATATAACGAACTCAAGTTCCTATCTCTAGTTATATGAGTAAGCTATATAAGAAACTCTTTCTGGCCTATTAGAGTAGTCCCTATTCCTAGTTATATAAGTTATAATATATAATAAACTCAAACTTTTCTTAGATTATTTTTGGAAGAATTAGTAAGCTTTTCTAAATAGATTTATTAAGGCCTTGGTTTTTAAAGATATTAGTCTAGTCTTCTTACTTTTTCCTTAGGTAATAGTTTGGCTCTTAAGAATTATATATAAATGTCGGAATAAATAAGGAGATATACTATATATACTTTCTAGATAAATTAGAATAGAACTTATAGAATTCCCGTAATATTTTTATTAAATCTATAGTACTAGCTAGTAAAGACTTTAATAACCTTAATAAGACTTGAATTATAAGCCCGGCCCTTAGATTTCCCGTTTAACTTAAAGGTTAAGTAGTCTATAATAGGTTACCTATTATAGAATATATTATACTCTTTTCCTAAAGAGTACTAGATACTAGTAATAGTCCGGAAGCTCTAAAGCCCTTAAAACTCTTTATAAGTTTCGGGCTTTAGGGCTTTTCTATAGCTAGCTAATTATATAAAGTCACGTGACTATACGGGTCCGGTATTAATATAAAGTAATTAATAACTTTATATATAAATATAGTATAGTTTTTAGTATAGCTAGTCTAATATATTATATATTTATATATAAATACCTGTAATTTTATTATTATAATATAATATATCCTTAATATAAAAATCCCTTTATAACCCTAGACTTTTAGGAGCCTCTTTTATACTAAAGGCAAAGTATATAATACTATTTGGGTATTAAACTCAAAAGGCAAAGAATTATAAAGGCCCTAATAATTATAAGACTTTATAAACTTAGGTAAATTTAAGTATTATAAAAGTATTAAATTTAGTAGCCTGACTTTTAAATTATATAAAAACTAATTAAAAAGTATTACTTTAAAGTATTAATTATAAATTCCAAGTATATATATATCTATAAGGAAATAAGACCTAAAATAGTACTAAGCTAATTATAAGATATAGGAAAAAGTATATTAAATATTAGGCCTATTTTTTCTTAACTATCTTAACCTTGGCGGATATTTATATATAATTTATTAGACCTTATATAATAGGTTTACTTAGGAGAAATAAGGTTAATTAGCCTAGGGAGTTTAATAATAATAATTAGACTTCTGTCCAGAATAATAGGCAAAGTACTAGTAGTAGCCCGGATATCTTGGGTTTTACTTATAAAGCTAAAGATATTATATTTATTAATTCTTTATATCTAATAAGAAAAAGAAATAGTATATTTATACCTCTAATATACCCGTTACTATGGAGTAATACTTATATAATTCATAAGATTAATTATAGTTCTCTTTACTAAAGAAGAAAATAGTAAAATTAAAAGAGGATCTAATAACCTACTATTATTATTATTATTATTATTATTAGGATTAGCTTTAGTAGTACTTTTAATAGTACTTTCCGTATTATCTTGCGGCTCCCAGAGGTCGGTAAATAGAGAAGAATTCTAGTATATATAAGTTAATTAAACCTAAAAACAAAAAAGAATCTATAGAAGAAATAAAGAATAAGAGCCAGAATTAAAGAAAAGAATTATATATATATCTTTATTTACTTACCGGTTTATTAGATTCCTTCTTATTCTTAAAGTCTTATGCCTATATTAGCGGGTAATATTTTCCTGGGCTCTTTAGGCCTCCTTAGTTTATTATTTAATCTTCTCAAGTTACTATATCTTTTAAGTATTTTCTAGCTTTTTATAAGTAATTTTAAGATAGAGATCTTTATATAAAGTTTCCTTTTAAGTATTTTCTAGCTCTTTATAAGTAATTTTAAGACGGATATCTTTATATAAAGTCTTATCTTAGTATAAAATAAGGAAAATTATTCAGATATTCTTAGGGCCTAGATATATACTATAATAGGAAAGATTAAAGATAATTTAGATAGAACCTGGCAAGACTATAAGTTCCTGAACTCTTTTATTATTAGGACTAGTATAGAGTACTAGTTTATTTATATTATTAATAAATTAATAATAGTAAGTAAATCTGCTAATATAGAAAGAGAAATAAGGAAGTAGCTACTAAGAAATTATATTAGAAAAAGTAGAAAAGACTCGATTATTTATTTCAAATTAAAAGCTATCTATTAAAAAATATCTATTAGAATTTATATAGAGAATCTAGTAAAAGAAATAGGAGAAAACTTATTACCGATTTCTTTAGAAAGTTAAATAGTTCTTTATTTAGCTCTCTAATTCTTTATATTATTAAATACTTACTTGCGGAGAACTAGCTATAAAACTATAGTCTATAATTCTATAAGACTAGATCCGGCTATATTTTGATTTATGAGACCTTAAAGGGCTCCAGATAGCCTATTACTAGTATAAGGAGCTATAGCCTGGATAGTAGCCTGAGTAACTCTTGTATTTATAGCCCGTTAAGCTTATATAGTAATATAAATACTACTAGAAAAGTAGTTAGGTCAAGTAATATGGCTTATAGTAAAAGGAAATATAGAAGGAAGTAGTTATAGGGCTATTAGAGTAAGAAAAGCCTGGGGTAAAATAGAACTAGTATCTGGTAGCTATATAGTAATAGTAACTAGAGGAATAGGTATAGTAGATATTCTTAGAAAAAAAGATATAGGATAAGAATATTAAGAAAAGCTAGAGATCTAAAATATCCTAGATATAAAGAAAGAGGCAAATATAAACGGAATTCCAGAGCTATAAGGTTCAAGTCTACTAGTATTACTACTCTAAGCAAGTAAAGCAGTAGCCTTTATATTATATTTATTATTAGTAGATTAATAGAACTCATAATATTAGATATTACTATACTAGTATTTAGCTATAGAATATATAGTATTAGGGCAGGTTTTGAGAAATAGTAGTACTATTTTAAGAAATAAGAATTTGAGGATATAGAATATTTATATAATAGATAAACTTAATAATTCTATTAGTACTACTTTTAAAAGTAAGAAAAAAGTTTCGAAAATAATATATTTAATAATAAATAATACCTATCTTAATATACCTAGTTATTCTATAACTGGCTTATTTAATTACCCTATATTATTAGAAATATTACTAATAAAGGGCTATTTCTGGATAAAGTCCTAGATTATTAGGAACTATACGGGTATTCTTCTGGCCTATATATTATTTATATATTCTATATTTATTAGGATAACTTATTTGAGGATCCTATTCCGTATAATAGTAATATTATATTTACTAGTCGGCTTCTCGGACTTTCCTAATATTAGTAGCTGCCCTAAGGCTATATATATCCGGACTATATATTAGAGCTAGTAGTAAGCTTAAATATATAGTCGGTTACTGTTTCTATTAGTATCTCCTATATAAATATTAGCTATATTTATACTATAAGATATAAGCTTCTAATAGTATTACTTTAGTATTTCTCTTAGTAAAAACTCATTAATATTTATATTAGTATATAAGTAAACTATTTATATAGAGCTATACGAGATTATATTACTTACCCTAAACTAAATAATTATTAAGGATTATATTATAAAGCTCTATATCTATAGGGTAACCCTAGTACTATACCCCGCCTGAGGGCCTCGTATATAGTCTAAATAGCTTACTGGCTATTATATTAGGCCTAGATCTGTCTTTTCTAATTCTATAAATATTCTATAAGTCCGTAAACCTATATATCTCGTTTTGGATCCGCTATATATAAAATACTAGTAAAGTAATCCGGTTCTATAGGTATTAGTAATTATAACTTCCGGTATAGGCCAGTTCTTGAAAATAGTTCTATATATACTAATTAGAATTAGTTATATAATCCGGTACTATAATACTAGACCTAATAGCCTTAATAAAAAGTAGTATAATTATTAGTATCCGATATTTCCTTCTAATAATAAAAAAAATAAGAGGCAGATATAGAGAAACGGAATTACTTATATACTACTAGTATAGCTAGCTCTTCTAAAGCTCCTACTATTAGGATTTAACCCGCTAATTCTCGGTACTTTTCCTAGAAATAAAGTAGTTCTCTATATATATAACTAACGGATTAGCTATCTGCAAGAATATAAAGTATACTTTAGTAATAAGGGAGAATTCAGAGCCTTAATTAGCCCTAAAAAAGTAAGGGCAGTAGCCTATTTAAATACAAATCTAAAGATACTACTATATAACCAAATAGGTAATCTAATTAGAGATTCTAATATATACCCAGATAATATTATATAAATAAGTATTAATATAAATATATATCTCGATCCCAAATAGTAATAGCTTATTATTTCTATTAATTAACTAAATCTAGTCCGGCCCAGGTATAATATATTCTCTCTTTTTAAACTATATCCGTTATATTTATAGTATAATTACCTCGGGATCTAGGAATTATAATATTATATATAAGCTCTTCCTATAAATAATAAAATATATTAGTAAATAAGGCTCTAATCTTCTAAGCTAGGACGAAATAGTAAAGTATAGAAAAACTAACCGGGTTACTAGTAAACCTTATTAATAGAAGTATATATATAAATACCGCTATTTATAACCTATAATCTGCCTATTATTTAGCTTACTCTATAGTATTATAAATAATTACTTGTCTGCCGCTTATTTATCTATTATAGTTATATAGTAAATAAGATTAAGCTTCTTATATATACAGATAACTCTAGTAATTAAAGCTATATAACCGTAATTCTTAAGATCCTTAAGTATTTTCTTATTTATATCTTCCAGATAATATAGGATTATAATCTATATATAAAAGAAAGGTATATTTACTATTTAAGTATATATTTGGATATTCTATTCTTATAATTGCCATTAGACTATATATGAATTAACTAAGATTCTATATAAATCTTTTAATCTATTTGTAATTTCTTCTTAATTAATATTTATATAAGCCCATTTAGTAATAGCTTTGTAATATAGTAATAGATTTATTAAAAGTTATAGTATTATTTTAATAAAATTCACTAAGTTATTTTAATAGAGATTAAGTTTAGGGTATACTTTACTATTATAATATACTTTCTAGTAATATAAGTACTAAAAAACTCGAGTAATATTACTCCTATATAATTTTATTAATTAATTACTAAAAAAAAGTAATTAGCCGGCTTTTTAGTTATTTTAATAGTTTAATTTTCTTATTTCTAACCTCGGGAATATTAAGGAAGTTATTAGACCTTATTAATAGTATTATCCTAGAAGGGCTTATAGCCTATAGTCACCTGACTATAGTAATTTGTAATAAATACTTAATTTTATATTATATTACCCGGCCTAATTTTGGCATAATTTCACGCAGTAGTATGGGCTCTCACTTCGTTAATTAGACAAGCAAGCAGCCTTACTATTATTGCGTTATCCAAGCCGAAAGTCACGTGTGGGTACTATACCCCTAATTAGGAATTCTGCCTTGGGGAGGAGGGGGGGGGGGGGGGGGGGGTGTGCGGGGCGCCAGTGCGAAAATCAGAAAATCAGAAAATCACTTTTCGCTTCTCGGATTTGTCCGCTAGCTAGCTGTGGGCCTCAGTAGGCAGCACTACCATCTTCAGCCTGGTTAATTTCTCGGCCGCTTTCCGACTCTCACCGACTAACATGAAAGCAGCCGGTGCCATAATCTCAAGGCATGTTCAAGAGGTTAATCACGCCACTAGATCCCGTGGCCAACAAAAAAAGCCCGCGACATTGAGTTAACTCAACCTTTTGAATTATTTATCTGCAGCCTAGCCTCCTAACTTGCCACTAAATTTCTAAGCAGATCTGCGTAAAGTCTCATGTACTAATACCCCCCCCTACGCCCCGCCCTCGTCAAATAGTGTGATGAGGCAAGGATGATTCTGGAGTGGCTCAAATGAACAGAAGGTTAATGGCGGGTTGGGCTCAAGACTGGCAATAGCCTTGTCCACGGATTTTAAATGGTGTGCTATGTTAAAACATGTCAATAATTTAGATTGAAAAGTTCTAACGGGCCAAAGGAGGTGCTTACTAGCTATTTGCCACCTTCGACCATAGTGCCAGCTTGCCTCCCTCAGCACTTCTAGATCTTGAGACCACTGGCCTCGATCAGTACTACCGTGAAAGCTGATTAACTCCTCTGTAGCGCGGAATATAATATAACAATAGGTTGGAGGGAGGGCAATCATGCTGATTTCCCCCAAACAGCGATTAAAACTACGCGCCACATCGATGACAATCCTTTCTGCCGTCTTCAGTGCGAGTGAAGATGCAGTAGTTGCAACAATGTGGTCATTGCCCTGGACGTCTACAGGCACGACTGACGAATAATCAGAGGGAGAGCTTTGGCCATGGAGAACAAAGAGAGCACTTCGCGAAGATTAGCATCACCCCATGATATCTGGCGGATTTGATGCTTACGCAATGACAATTGCCGAAGCTTCGCAATACTCGCATAGAGAGCCACTATTTTGATCTATAAGAATTCCCAGGAGGCGGCGAATGTCATCGTCAAGTCGTTTCATCTCACCATCAGCTCTATCTGGCTGAGCTGTAACTTTTTGTTGGCGGAGGTAGACCGCCCGATCAAGCAGACGGCACGCCTGGGCGACACGGCGAAAAATACCGATGGTGTTGATAACGGGAGTGGCGTTGAAAGATAGATCGAGATTTTCACAATCGTGAGGAGGTTGCACAGGTATGTAGCGCCTCTCCACGGCAAACGGCTTGTCAAATGCTGTATCTTCAATGTTGAGACATCTGGTCAGGCGGTTTAGCAATGACGCCTACATTTCATATCACGAGGCATAATACTACGTAACTAGAACGAAGAACTTACCTATCCCGAATAACTATGCCCCACCATAAATTGAATCTCTCTGCATTTTCGAGCCAGGCATCACTATCTTTGGGAAGATCTGATTCCAAGCGTTGATTGTGTAATCCCATCCAAGAGCCCATCCTGGCAGACAAGCCTATTGTTCCATAGGCTGCTTCGGCCATGCCGGATGCATGTTCGTAGCATGCAATTAGGACGCCTGCCTGGACCAACTCAATCGATGCTTCCAGACATGAACACAAATGCCAGTACTCGCCCTTGACAATCTTATAGAGCGGGTCTTGTCCTGTATCAATCACCGCGTATCGAATCAGTAAACAGACGCCAAGCAAGAGAACCGCGAAGTCCGGCCGTTTTGTCTTGCTGAATTCTGTCATTCTTTGATAGAAGAGCCTTTGCGAGATGACCGGCATCCACTTATGGACATTTTGAAAATAAATCTGGCAGGCTCCATACACTTCTCCTGGCTTCGATTGTAGCAGTTCGCAAACCTCTTCGCTGAGGTTTGCGAAGTTTACCGCTGCGAGTTGCTCAAGAAAAGGGGCGTGGTTGCCGACCTGTCGTCTACCACCTGGTGGGTCCTCGTGTCTTGAGTGTAGCTGGGCAGGACGAGCGATTTTCGAAGTCCCGGGTATTGCCAATTTCTCCACTTCTCTCAGTCTGTTGCGCAGGTGGCGGAACTCATCTGCGAGGGAGATGCTTGCAGTATCACTATAGATACATTCCACATGATCTCTGCGGTTCACGTCAACTGAGTAGGCTCAATCAGCGGTCGATATGATCTACAGGCGCACTCACTTCTGGCATTGCAAGCAGCTTGGTAGCCTCTTGTCACACTTCGTTTTCCGTCGCCGACAGTATAGACAGACATTGTCTGCCCGTGATGGACTGGACCTCCTCACCCTTGTCCTCTGAGATTGTCGATCGTCATCCATCAGACGAAGCACAATCTCTGAAGAGTGGTATGACAATCAGTTAGGCGTACGGATTTCGGAGCACCGACGCAATGTACGATGTGTACGACATATGTTAGCTCCCCCGGCCGAAAGCGGCCGCCGGCCCAGCACGAATGACGCCACCTTTGAATAACTCGGCATCTGGAGCACGCGTCAATTTTTTGGTCGCGTGCGGCTCGGCCGAAAGCGGCCGAGCGTGCTTCTACTATGATCGCAGGACCTTAAATATTAGCGGCCACCCTAACCGCGATGGGGCAGGTTATTACTATGTTGACCTTAACCCTTTATGGATATGAGTTTCTCAGACCTTACTTCATGGCAGCCTCATCTATTTGCTTACATATAACTGAGTGGAACAAGCCACGGGTTAAAATGAGGTCGATTGTGCCTGAGGTCGAGAGTGTCCTCTCTGGCTGGTCGGACTCGCTGAACACCACATAATTGATATTTGTGCATCTGGTCCAGAAGACACACATCTGCTGACCATGTCTAAGATCCTAACCGTTTTTGGAGCCACGGGCTCTCAGGGTGGCTCTGTTATCAAGTCGATTCGCGAGCATCCAACACTCTCTCGCACGTACAAAATTCGCGGCGTTACGCGGTCGCTGCACAGTGCTGTGTCGAGGAGCTTGGCTGCGGAAGGAGTTGACATGGTCCAGGTAGGGCCGAGTTTGACAGTTATAGGGTAGCAGCTGATTTTTAAAAGGCTGACCTTAACGAAGTCGAGTCAGTGTATCGTGCAATTCTAGGGTCGTACGCAGTATTTGCAATGACCAACTGTGAGATGAATTCAGTTGATATAGATCTGAACAGCCGAAACTAACTCATATGCTGATAGTTTGGGAGTACCGATCTGCAGAAGTCGAATTTGCGCAAGGGAAGGCTATCGCCGACGCATGTAAAAAGGTCGAGATCGAATGTCTCATCTGGTCTACGCTCAGCCATGCTACGACTGGTATTTTCCTGCCACATTTTAAAGTAGCCTATTAAGTCCCTAACAAATTCAATAGTCAGCGCAGGGAAGCTGCGTTTGATACACCACTTCGACTCGAAGGCCGACGTTGAAACTTATATTCGATCAATTCATGTTCCAGCCAGCTTCGTCAATCCCGGTTGCTTCATGTCCAATCTAAAAACGATTCTAACAAAGGTGAGCCATGAGTACTTTGTGTTTGCTTTTAAGCTAACTATTGCAGACCGACGACGGCAGCTATGAACTTACACTACCTATGCCTAGCACAACAGAAATTCCCTTGATTGATGAAGCCAATGATACTGGGAAATGGGTTGCCTCAGTCCTGTCCAAACCGTCAGAGGCACTAGGACAACATTTTCTTGAAGCTGCAAGGTGGTATACCATTAATGATATCTGTGCCATATTCGCCAAAGTCACAGGCAAACAGATACTATTCCAACAAGTTTCCGAATCCGCCTTTGCAGCGACTAACGGTGAAGAGGTATGTGAGGCCTGGATCTTACTGAGAGACTACGCATACTTTGGTTTGGATGCAAAAGTGAGATTGCAAGCGTCCCTGGAGGTAAGCTAACCTCTGGTACTGAGTCAGAAGTGCTTTGCTAACCATACTGTGATTTCAGTTTCTTGGTCAACAACCCACGTCTCTGGAACAGTACCTTGTTGATTCTTCACCGTGGTAGTGTCGACACAATCATGGCCGAGGCAGTAAAGGTAGAAGCATAGCCTAGTTCATGGTACTCCAAGTTTACCTAGTACCGCTCCTCTCCCTTCATGTCGGTTGAATATCATAGCAATAGTGGGTCAGAAACCCTCAGGTGTAGGGTAACCATGAGTAGGTAGCTAATTTCAAGTTGAATTATCTGCACATTTACAAAATGTACTATCCCTGAGACAATACCTCAATCGCAGCACTGTTCTTCTGTGGGCTGTATTAAGTATCCTTATTATATTTATGAATTGAAAGATTCTCGCAAGGGAGCTTTGTTGGTCCAACCTCTTCGTCCGATGCTGATGCTGGGGCTTGTTCTTCTTCAGCAAAGGGATAATCAGTATAGCCCACTTCACACTCCTTATCAAAGAACTTGGACGTGTCTGGATATGCAAGTCGGATCTTTTTCTTCAGACGGACCGGCAAGTCAGGCTTCATCAACGTTGTCAACAGGGTTTGTGACGAAGATAACCGGGTGGAGACTTACATTTGCAACAAAGTACCGTCCGAAGCCAATCAGTCCTCCCTTTTCCTTAGCAGTACTAATGGCGACGTCTCTGTCGTATCCGCCCGTAGAGATCAGGGGCCGCGATCCCCAAATGTTACGCAGGAAGTCATTTGATTCGCCTGGTTGGACTTCCCGAGGTTTAAATCCGTTCACACATGGCTCCACAACGTGAAGATAGGCTAACTCCGGGTACAGGTCACGCACGCGAGATATGAGCTCCATGAAGGTGGGAGCAGGGTCTTTCATGCCCATACCTAGATTTCCGGGGAATAAACTTAGTACGGAATTGCGTGAGGGGAAGACGTAGCGAATAGAGCATACCCCAGAATGTGGCCCATGGGCTCACACGGATTCCAACCTTTCTTGGTCCAATTCCAGCCACCACAGCTGCGATAACTTCCGAGGCAAAGTGGATCCTATTTTCAATCGAACCGCCGTAAACATCAGTCCTGTGATTGGATGTGGTTTGCAGGAACTGATCGATCAAGTACCCATTTGCACAATGAATCTCCACGGCATCAAAACCTGCCCTGAATACCGCATTTTGGGCCGCAACTGCAAATAAATCAACATATTCTTTAATTTCGGGTATGGTTAGAGGACGAGGGTTCGTAGAATAACCAGGCATAGGAATATCGCTAGCTCCGACATAGTCGAAGTCTGGTGCATTATTGATCATCTTGGGTTCTAGTCCTCGTCCGGTGGCCAAGATCTGAAGCACAATATAGGAACCCCTTTCGTGTACTGTATCAACGACCTACAGATATTGTTAGTCTCTCGCAAACATGCGAAGATAGGCTTTAAAACGACAGGAACGATGTCTGACCCCTTTCCATCCCGCAATTTGGCCTCCGGTCCAGATACCGGGGACGTTATACCATCCAATTGCCCTCTTTGCAATATATGTGCCTTCAGTGATAATCATAGTTCCTTTGGTGCTAGCACGCTGGCCATAGTACTTAGCACCTAGTTCATAATGCTCCCCTCTACTGTTACATGCAAATAGCGTTACTGGTGACATGACGGCTCGATGGGACAATCGCATGTCACCAACCTGAATGGGCTGAAATAAAGCCATGTTCGACAAGATTATTGAGACGTTACGATAGAAACTCTATCACTAGACCACATATATCTCCCCCTTATTTGTGATTCGAGTGACGGCAACTGCTGCTAAATATTTCCTTAAGCTTGCTTAGTAACGTCTCATCTTCAAAATATCTTAAAAGGCTGAAAGAAAGCCTATTTCGGCCGACGGTAGTTATTATCCGAAGTCGGCCGACCCGAAAGAGCGGCTTATTACCACGTTCCTGGGCTCTTTGCATGCCACGCAAAAAAAGACCTGACAGGGCCAATCTCAAGACTTATCTGTAGCGGAGATATCCACGTATCTTTTCACAATTTTCCCGATTCCACGCGGACGATTCAAGATAGTGGGTAAAGAACCTTTTGAGGTCTGGAACCAAGGGATAAAAGATAAGACCCTTGACAAAAGCAATGCCTTGGATAAGATAATTACCACTTATTAGGAGCTTGTCCAAAATATAAACCGAAATATTTATAATCTCTTGATACTTGAAAGGTGCTAACTAGTGAAACTCTAGGTATAAGAAATTCACGAAAATAAAACCAATAAATTATTTAAGTTTAATAAAAATAGCCATAATATTTAGAAATAACTAGAAGATATATATAATAAAGTAAATAGAAGAGTTCTTTAAATTACGGATATTATCGGGATTAATATAATAGGCTAGCTAAGCAAATTTCTATTCTTTAATATATATATTATAAAGTAATTATATATAAAGAAGCCGGAGAAGTTATAAAGCCCTATATAATATTAGTATTACTTTCTAATATCGAGTATTTTATTTAGATTAGAGATTATTAATAATTATATTTGCAAATTAATAATTATAGGCTATTACTTAAAAGCAAATAGAGAACTTCTTATTAAACTCGAGTATAGCTAGTTTGAATGGCTTTTAGTAAGGAAGCTAAGCAGGCCTTTATTTCCTGTAACCCAATTAAATATTTAATGGCAAATGTGCTCCGAGATCTTAACCTTAGTTCGGATAATTATTTATTCGCGCTTGATTAACTATAAAACGATAAAGAACTTGCCCGATATTGTAGGAATGAGAAAAAATATCTTTTGGCTTGATTACGAGAGTATGGAGGAAGTGCCCGACGCTGATTGGCATTAAAAGTCGCGAAGTAATGACTGGGAAGTGAATATGACACATGCTCTCGTTTGCCATATTGTTCGGCAAGGTGTATATAGCAGCAGCGATATTGCAGTGCTAACCTCGTGACCAATTGAGGCTTTTCCAAAGCAGCACAAAATGTCCAAAGATCTGCGTCAAGCTGTTCGTCGCTGTAATTCTCGCTCTAGTGCCCTTTTTGCGACGTACAACATACTTAGCTCATATTAGATCTCCCGTTCGTTGCGCGTCCCTGAAATGATCAATGACATGATTACCCTAAAGGCCATTCTAATCTACTGGCACCGGGGTTTGCCAAGACGAAATCGGCATTCAGCCTCACCCAGAAACAAATATTCGACCTCGTCCACAAATGGCTTGTACTTCGCATCTGGTTGTTAACTGAGCAATCACTGGTTTAGCGCTGACATTTCGCCGCGGAGCAGTCTCCGAAGGGTATTCACATGCTCCTTACACTGCTTGCTCCTTTGGGATAGGTGGGGAGACGAGTAACAGGGTAACTTATTTTGTTGCACATCGCAAAAGGGTGATTTGCAAGCCCATTTCGGCCATGCAAGGGGAATATGCCACCCCTCCAACAAGTTACAACGTAACGTACCGCACCCACACCCGCAGCGCTTTCCATCCAATAAGCAGCGCTTTTCCCATGCAACAAAACTTGCAATATGTTAGTGAAAGTCTCGGAGGTGCTTGGAGGCCTTAGCACAGATGGCAAGCCATAGTTTGATGCTCTCCTTCTCCTCTTGCAATCGTTCTCGCTGGCTTGCAGCCTTGTCCGAACTAGACGGTAAGGAGTGGATTTGCATTTCTCGGAGGTGCTCTTCGAGGTTGGTTATCTTAGTCATCGTCTCTTGAATTTCGTTTGTGTGCTGGAGGAAGGTTAAGTCTTGTAATATTTATATTTTGAGTAACACTGACCGTATCGAGAGATGGGAGCTCTTCTTTGATTCTTTGGTTGCTTGGAAAGCCACGAGTGTCAGAGGTAGCTCGCATTTTAGGGTCGGCTGGGTGAAGTCGAAAACAGTCAGCGTAACACTGGTGGATGATTTGGTGGATCGTGACCTTAGGACACTCATGTCGATGTACAGGTCGATGGGGCAGAACTCCCACTGCTTCTCATGAAACTGTTGGGCCAGGTTCTTTGCGTCTGCACCCTCCAACCCCATTGCTTTTATACTGGTATAGAGTTCTTCGAGATTGGCTTGGGAGGCGCGAGTCCTCGATACCGTTCCTTTGGAATCGATGCACGAGTCCTCTTCGGTCCAGATGAAGCAGTATGCTGAAGACCCGTAGGCATCCTTTCGATAACTGTGACGAGGAAATGAGATCGAAGGAGCCTCCGCTCTTTCCATACACGGCGTGATGAAGGCGTTCTGCTTGGGTGACGCCATGGCCGCACCATAGACTTCTCCACCAGTTGACAAGGCTTTCAGGCGGGGAGCGAATCAACCTGCCTTGCGCTCGACCAGGACGGGAAGGGCGGCCGTCGATCTTGTCAGGTTTGAATCTTCGCCACTCTATCCGAAGGAAATACTACTTTGAATGTTGAATGATCCGATTGAATTGCGCAACTGGAGTTCGAACAGAGAATGAATTAGAAAACCGCGCATGGTTATACTTTTGAGCCAAGCTGCGGGGAGACTCGACAAAGCCATGCGGCTTGGGCCGCACTAGGGGTGGCATAAGTATGGATTTGAGAAGACTAATATTGTATACGTAAAATATATGGGGTTTAAACCAATATTATTTATTAAATTGTGGCGTTTTCTTAAAGGGCTAAAAGAATAGTAATAAGATTACCAACCCCCCCCCTTAAATTATAAAAGTTCTTCTCTCTCGGAATTTAACAAAAATTAACTTAAAAGCCCGTGAAAAAGCTGCTTGGGAATCTCGACTTGATCTGCAATTACAAACAATAGAGCAGAACATCAAGCCTGCACATCTTCGCAAAAATGTTATAGTCAATTGTGATCCTAGTAAGCTACATGGATAGTCGAGAGATTTAAGACTCGTGATGTTGAGCTGCTCGCTAGGTCTGTCAGCCAGACCGACATCCAGCAGCCTCGTACGTAGCCAGGTTTGCTTTCTCCTCCAATTGCATTTTAGATGCATCCCGATGCATTGCTGGAGCCATTGTTTTGCTACCTTGCAAGAAAATTCGCTGTTGGTATTCGTCCCGTGTTTTTGTGCTTACGATGTGTCTGAATCTAGAGCTATTCATTCATTCAGAAGATTCTGGGGAAGATATACTTTCTGCCACCATTAAAGCAATGAGGTGCTCAAAGGAAAAAAGAGCGCAACCCATGTTTCCCCCTCACTTCCTTCCCCACCCCTATCAACCAATCTGCCAACTCATGAGGCCACTATCCGCGAGGGTGTATCCATGAGATAACATTTGAACCAAAAAGAACTGCAAGAACATACCGGCCGCACGAATGACATAATAGAACATCTTGAATTCTGATTTTCTCACGTCTGAAGTGAAGGGATGGGGGCGACGCCATCAGACTCGCCAATTTGAATTGAACTGTATGGGGATGCCGAGAACTCGCAGTGTAACCCTGCTCCCACTTCTTCAAGCAGTCCGCTTGTTCTCGGATTTATACTCCTAAAAAAAAGTCTTCTCAGAGATATCTTTCTCCACGTATACTGAAAGTAAACCAAGTCATCGAAGATGGCGGACGGCCCTTTTAAGGCAAAACGACTGAACCCGTCGAATAGTAAAGTGCAAAGTGGGCAACCAGCCACGACTGATTGAAGCGAATGGGTATCAGGATGATGGTCGATTGGCTCGTCGAATTTATCGAAGGTGGATGGACAGATGGCACCTTGCTTTGAGCCGTGACCATAATGTGAGACTATGTTGGAACTAATGGAGGGAGATGTGTTGATATGATCCCGTAGCGGTTGTCCCTTGTATCCTTGGTCGTTGGATACTATGGAAAATCCAACACAGTTGGTTGCAGAAGGCACGATCAATATTCCAAGTAGAGCTTTGACAATGTGTATGCAAAGGGGTAGATAAGAAGGTTCTTGAAGTTCTGCAAGTAGATAATTGGACAGCTTGGTGCTGGAACAAGGTGATTCGAACAAGCAAATTGTACAAGGTCATGCCGAAGTAACCAGATGTTCCACGCCTTGCTGGAACAATCGAATGTCAAGAAGCAGATTGGATGAAGCCGTGACAATGCAGTTCCGAGTACTGAGATGTGGGAAGAGTAATGTACCAAGACCTATCGAAACAATCAGGAACAGTGTGTCAAATGAATAGATTAGATTAGAATACTGGCTAGTAATCTAATCTATTCATCAAAAATACCCACTAATTATATTCTAATCAGATTCCAATTAAGGTAATCATGAATATTCATGAATACTTTGATTACTCTACACGTGACTATTGCACGTGATATACTAACCTAATTAGGTATGGCTCCCTATCTAGCATCGTCTTTGCAAGCCTTTCGCCTACTAATTAGGCAGCGAGGTGGCGCTAAGGCGACACTAGAGCGGGGCCTCTACTTAATTAGGCTAGTATATCACGTGCCACAGTCACGTGTAGAGTAATCAAAGTATTCATGAGTATTCATGATTATATATTCTAATCTAATCAAATTATTTAAGCATTGCGGTAATTATATTCTATTCAAGCTAATCATGAATATTCATGAATATTCGGAATACCTTGATTACTTTTTTGACACACTGATCAGGAAATATTTAACGAAGTTGTGCTGGAACACTCTCTGATGGACGGGAGGAAATTTTGTGAACAGTTCTTGAGATAATCTCTAATGTACTGGAGGAGATTGCATGCGGTCATACTGGAGCAATCTCTGATGCAGTGATGGCGGTTGTACAACTTCAGTTTGGGACAATCACAGTGTACAACCGGAAACAATGGGCAAGGCTGTCGTAGATTTCAGTCACGTGATATGACATCGCTTAGCCGAAAGAAGCCGGCTTGAGCCGTTTAAAACCGCTCAAAGGCCGTGAAAGACTTCGGCAAGTCCCGACCAATGAACGTCTCGCAATGCAGACCGCCAACGTTAGTGTCAAAGCTGCATCTCATCGCTCCCGCCTTGGGAACGATGTCTGGCAAGTAACCAAAGCGGACGGTACAATCGAATACATCGACACCGACCCCGACACCATGGACAACCTGAACGACTCCACTGCGTCTCCCGCCTCTGAGCCTCGAAAGCAGAAAAAGAAGAAGGTCCTGCTCATGGGCAAGTCTGGCTCCGGTAAGAGCTCCATGAGGAGCATTATCTTCTCCAATTATGTTGCGAAGGACACCAGACGCTTGGGAGCTACGATTGATGTCGACCTCAGCTCTGTCAAGTTCTTGGGCAATCTGACCCTCAATCTCTGGGACTGTGGCGGGTGAGTTGCTATATCTTATGTCAATTGTCGTACAAACACCCCTCTTTCAGCCTTGCTCGCAAACAGACGTAAAAGCTATTTGCAGGCCTCAACCTGGCTTGCAACATATCTCCTCCGCAATTTGGCGCTATCTGAGAGCACTACGAAGCTTTATTCAGCCTCTGCTGCTATACCCTTTGTCATCCGAATCTCGAGACCAAAGCTGACTTCTTGCAGACAAGATGCTTTCATGGAAAATTACCTCTCCCAACAACGCCAACATGTCTTCTCCAACGTCGGTGTCCTCATCTATGTCTTCGACATCGAATCTAGAGACTTCGACCGCGATCTACTTACATACCGCTCCATCATTGCTGCCCTCGGCCAATTCTCACCCACCTCGAGCGTCTACATACTCGTCCATAAGATGGATCTGGTTGTTCCTTCCCAACGCGAAGATATCTACAATGAACGAGTCGCTCTCATCCGATCCAAGTCCGATGCCTTCGCTCCCATCCCGTTTGCTACGTCTATTTGGGACCAATCCCTCTACAAGGCCTGGGCTGAAATCATTCACGATCTCGTCCCCAACCTCGACCAAATTGAGAATCATCTCGGCGAGTTGGGCGAGCTTATTCAAGCGGAAGAGGTCTTGCTCTTTGAGCGCTCTTCCTTCCTTGTAGTTTCCTCTTGGTGCAGCAGAATTGGCGCTATGAATCCTACCTCCGACCGATTCGAGCGCTTCAGCAATATCATCAAAAACTTTAAGCAGACCACCAGCCGCTACACCGGTACCCCAAAGAGCGCCGAGCAATTTTCACTTTTGGAGATGAAGCTCCCCAATTTCTCGCTCTTCATTGTCAAATTCACTACCAATACCTACCTCTCGGTCTGCCTGCCCCCAGGCGAGGAGCGGTTCAACCTTGCGATGGAGAACTGCTATATTGCGAGAAAGAAGTTCGAGGATCTCGACTCTCCAGCAAAGAAGGGTGCTGATCGTGGTGCAACTTCTGGATCCGTTGAGGCTTGAGTACGTGTGGGATGATGGGACGGCGTTGATTTGGAGGATGGCTTTAGACATGGCGTCACATGGCATGGATAATGATTGACGACTGATGATTCTGCATGGAATGGAAGGAAAATACCCAGGCGTTTACGGTAGACAGAAAAGGCAATGCAATGCGATGACTTCCACAATGTTCTGATCAGCTCTGGTGCATTGATTCGGGAATACGCATTGTTCTTCGCCCTGATTGCAATGTTCCAGCTCGACAAGGACTTTAATTCAATATCTAATGGATATTTCAGTGCTTACAGCACAAGAGAGCATTCTCACAAGAAAAGTCGCCTTTGGCTAACCAACTGCAGCAAATGGGCGGGGAGCGGCTCAAGGATCCTCCCCGAATAATAAAAATAGGCGATTCTGCACAGCATCGACCGTCGTCAAAAAACCTTCTTCTCCCATCTGATAGCAAGCCAGCCAAGTGGTCCCACGCGGTAGTGCCCGTCCATGACATAGGATTTGCGCGTTAATGACCTGTTCTCCACGAACCCCCGCGGAAATGGGCGAGGCCACAAAGGTGATCGCGAAAACACCCCGTCCCAATCCTTCACTGGATATGCGATCCACGAGGCTAGAGACACAAGGAGGCGAAGCAGCTGGGAGCCTCTATTCCCCTCCCCTCTGATCCTTCCACAAACTGCCTGTTGTTGAATGGCGAACATAGGAGCCACAGCGAGTCCTTCATCCTTCAGCATGGCCTGCGAGGCTGTTCGCTCTGCTTTCGGAGTTAAGGTCTGGATAGCTTCTCTTTAGCCTGTCAGGCTGGCAGTCAGTTCAAAATAGATGTGGCTTCTTCCATTATGCGGGTTTGGATTCCTATGGCTTTTCGAAGAACCAGGAGGCTGGGGAAATGTCTCTCTCTGTTGGAGTGGAGAGAAGTGCAGCCTCACGAGAACTCTAGCTCCCCTTTCCACGTTTATGAGGATATACGGGACTTAGAGTCTCATTGGTGCTTCGCGGGTGAAACCGAACATTCTTTGAGATGGGGAGAGATGTGGGCTTGCGGAGCTATTGACATAGCCCAATTGAGGGATAAGCGTTTGGAGATATGATGAAGACCAAAAGCTCCATGTGTTGTTGTATAAAGATGCCAAGCTCTTCCCCCAAGATGGAGGGAAGACAGCGTTGTTTCCTTATTGCAATTGCTCCTGGTTCAAGATTCCCTCTTCACTTGCAAATACTTCCCACACCCATTGGGGCGTGCTCTCGGCACAATGTTTCTCTCCAAGCTGGTGTATTTCTACACCCCTCATCGCTGCTCTCAGCGAGGCAATCTTTATCGTTAGTCCTACCCCGCCATCGAGCCTCTTATTCCCTCCGAGCGTGCAGACTAACCTCTCCAGCCTACGCTCCTAATAATCAGCATCCCTCCAATCCCAATAATCACCCCAAGCCGCCCCATCACCTCCATCTCATTGATTCCATTCACGATCCCGACACCAATACCACCACCACTGGCAACATCGCCGGCAGAACACCCTCCTCTAGCACCGCCCCTCCCTGTTCCCACCGTCGGCCTAGCACCCAAAACTCCTTCACCATCAGCCATGGCCTTGGGGGCACCACCGTCCCTCTCATCGTCACGCAAACCTTCGAGTCCATGGATTGGAGCACTGTTATTATCTCAAACCTCCCACCTGTCGCTCCACCGCCCGCTTACCGAACAGAGACCCCAGTACCCAAGAGCTCGACTGATCTTACCATTCCTCGAAGCGACATCCAAGCGCGCTTTCTGCTACTTTCCGTAGACTGGCGAAACATTGGCGGCCAAAACTACTTGGCCTCTATTCAAGTAAGCATCATTGGAATCTCCACTTAGATTTAACCACTGACGTTGGAACAGGATCAAGGTGGTTGCGAATCCTGCTGGGTCTTCTCCGCCACCGCGCTCATCGAAACCATGGTCCGCATCCAGCACGGCATGTGGTCCAAACACAGCGAAGACGACTTCCACGACCAAATGGGGGTATCGTGCGCTCAAACTGGCGGACCTGACTTCGCCTTAAACTGGGTAGCCAGCACGGGCGGGGGCGTTGCAGACAAGCAATGCGACAAGTATTATGGGGATGATAAGCCTTGGTTTCCATGTGGTGATCGCAGTAGACGCACTCTGAGGATCCCGCAGTATCAGAGCCTGAATACGATTGTGGATCAGAAACAGTGGTTGGTTCAGGTGGGTCCGATTGCTGCCCGCTTTACTGTTTATTGGGACTTCTTTAGTTGGGATTGGACGAAGGGGCCGTATAAGTATGATAGCACTTCGGGACTTGACGGGGGTTATTGCATCCTCATCGTCGGATAACACCGGTGCTTGGATCTTCAGGAACTCATGGGGCCCTGGATTCCGGGTCGATGGGTATGGGAACTTGGCGTACGTCTCCCCTTCTTCCCCCCTTCTTCCCCCCTCTTTCTTTTAGGATCACTTGCTGATGAGTTTCCTTGGGTAGCTACGGAACAGCTCAAATCGACAACTGGACCAAATTCGGCACCACAAACGTCAACCCCGATCCCTGGACCAGAAGACGGCACCACAACGGCATACTCTACCAATCCGGCAACCATCCTGCAATCCGGTCACGCGCTCGTACAATCTAACGTGAATCTCGATCTCAACGACCCTAATTCGGCGGGGAATCTCTACGTAGTAGCCGTCCCCGCTTCTGGCAAGATGCAAATGTTCTACCGCGCCAGCTCCAACAACCCTTCTTGCCATTGCTCTCTTAATAAGACGTGGATCTCCACCGAAACCTTCGAGTCTGGGATAGGTGATACGGCGCCCGTTATGGTGCAGGATTATTGGAGGACACAGGACGAGAACACACCGGGAGGATTCCAACTGCTGGTGGTGGTGAATGGGCAGGTGCAGCATTGGCAACGTGTAAACACCGACATAACCAGTAATCCTCCGAAGGCTGGCGGTAAGTAATTCTCCCTTCTCCTATCTTTATGTCCCATTCTTTCGAGTTTGGCGCATCAGGACTGATGATTTGCAGGACCGGGGAGATGGCACCACGTCCTCACGTTCGGGATTGACATCAAGAATGTGTGGGGTTTGGTGCATGGCAGCTATGGGATGGCGCTTGAGGCGGTGGTGGAGGATATGCAGGGGGTTTTGTGGCATTGGCAATATACGAACTCATGGGCAAAGGTGGCGGTGATTCCGAACTTGCCCTTTCCTTAGAGAGAGGGTTGGTTGATTTAGGGGCGTCGAGGGATTTCCCTTGTTGGTGGAGAGGTGGGAAGATATTTGGGCACGGGTTCTTTTGACTGGTTGTGGCGTTTTGGTAAGGCGAATGGGAAAGGGGGTGGAGTTGGATTGGATTGGATTACTGGCGTTGGGAGGGCGCTCGGAAGAGGCGGAGTTGTGGGATGGCCTGAGTAGCATTAATTCGCATCTTTTCACAACATAACTAAATATAAAATGGTGCCTTTTCAAATCTGGGCTGAGCTGTACTTGTAATCTCTATTACTTTGTGGTTTGGCTCGTTGCAATTCCGCTTCTAACCGGTAAGTAAATTGATGAAATGAGCTGGTCTACTGAGAAGCGGTGCTGCGGTGGAATCAGAGGGCTACGAGATTGACCACAGTACACTTTCGAAATTGAGGACAGTGCTTCAATTCAATTTCAATTACCATCTTCCAAGCATGGCATAAGCCTTTGTTTGCTGAAAATTGAAAACAAACGGGAAGTCTGCATTGAAGATCACCTGCCATATGCGATTCCTGTAGGGGCATCGAAACTAACGAACATTGTCAAGATCCTGGGTCAATAAAGCTGTTGGAATTACGGTTCTTCGCCTCCTGCTGTGCCATTTCTCTCGTTGTTGAATCTAGAGATTGGCCGCGTGGGCATGCTGCTAACAACGCACAATGCAACAAAATCTTAAGTTGGATCGGACCGTGTTCTTCTCACTCGAGAAAGTGAACCACAATTTGCCGGTCACTCCCTCCGTGTTTCGATTTCACATGATTAAATTCTCAGTCGGAAGATCAACTTGTGGCGGGAACAAACCCTGTTTCACGTGATCTCATCTCAAATCTCAGATCTCGAAACAATCTTTATCTCAACTCGGAGATGAAAGAAGTACCAGTCTTGTCACCGCGAAACATTCCAAATTTCATTCTAACAGCTAAACGAAAAGAAGCTTAGCCGCCGATCCCCTCATGGCCACGTAAGTCCGCGCTCCCCACGAGGCAACAACTGTACTGAATGAAAGCCAAGCCTTTCTAGAACTCTCCTAAATCTCGCTCACAACTCCCGAATAAGGACACACGCAAGCACAAAAACATGCACAAACAAAATCCACTTGGCGTGGCGAACAGGCAGAATATATGCATATTAAGTAAGGAAAGTCCGAGGAAACGAAATAGATGGGGGGAAGGGGCCGGCGAGAATGGCTCGGTGGTCAGACAGCGAGGGTTTGAGCCTCGCGGGAGAGGGAACTGGATCTGCAGAGGAAAGAGATTGAGGTGCACAGCCACTTGGGTATCAAACGGGATAACGGATGCGGCACGACAGCAGAAGCAAAATAGAAATTCCACCTCCAATTCTGGAGCTGACTGAGGGGGAGTTGGTGTTGGTATTTCTATTCTTGCCGTTGCTGGGGACAGCCAAGGCGAAGGATTTTGGCTGAAGTACCCCCGTACCCAATGTGGCGTAGTTGTTGCTCTTCTCTCGCAGGAGAGGCTGCAAGCACCCCAGATCATCTCATCCGATGTTTCTTGCGCTTCTTCCACGAGGTTCATCCCCACTTACCCGCCACTTGGTTTTAAAAAGATTGGCTTGGAGGTTGATCCATCCTGGCCGAGGTAGTCATGGCCCCTGAGAAAGGCAGCATCATTGCCCCTGGCTGCAGTTTCGATCTAACCGCCTCGAGCAAGTGGGGGTGTGCCAACTCCCAGCCGATGCTGCAATTGGCTGGGACGACGACAGCGGGGCAGGAGCGCCGTTTCAGCTTGACGACTTGGGGGTCCCGTTCTCCAGATCGCTTGGTGTTGTGCATGCAAACACAAACTCTCCAGACGAAGGACCATGGGAAAGGACTGCGATCGCGGCCAGAGACTAGGGGCCAGACGGCAGCATGCAGAGCGCTTACAGGTTGCCTTACGACCTAGACGACGGATTCAAGGGAAGCTGCTGCTGTCAGACTTCCCAGCTGAGCAAACCACATGCAGGAGACAGGCTGCCCACTTGGGAAACCATGCAGCCATCGTGAGAACATGGAAAAAGTTCGCCTACACAGACCTCAACCCTGGTGAGCGTGAGCGGCCACCCCATCCCCCTTTTGCAATCGGCTGTCTCAAGAACACCACGCCCCAGGACCACTCACGTCACCCAGCCAGTTGATTCCCAGTTATTCCTGGCCGCTCAGGATCATGCCTTCACCCTCCCAATCTGCCGCCGCAGCCCCAGCCAATCACTCTGCCTATCCGCCTCCCTGCACGGCCAGATTTGCCTTCTGTTTTACAGGAGCGGTACTTGGCAGGTACCGGCGTACTCTTGTTTGACGTTTATCCTCCGCGCATTTCCCTTTTCCTCCCTCTTGCTTCCAATCTCACCTCGTCGTCGACCGCCCCTCGCCCACTGTTCGTTTCGCTATCTTTACTTGCTTGCTTGCGCCCATTTACATTCTTTCGCACACGCTCCTTACACTTGGGCTAGGACCCGACTTCGCTCTTTAGATTGGGTCGCAGGAAAGATTCGCTCTTTGAAATAGACGCTCGTGGTTTGGTTGGTTTGGTTTGGACGACGACAGGGAGAGCTGTTGCAACACTGCGAAACATTAGGACTGGACAAACAGCAAAACACTAGCAGGAAATTGGAGGAATTGAACCTTTCGAGAAAGAGATATTGCAAATAGGACCTGCGTTGGACACGGGAAGTGGGGCTGAAGGGAGAAACTGGTACAAGTGCAATTTGGATGCTGGGGAACTCTTGGGTCAACATATCACCATCTGGATCGCAGAATTTCCTGGACGAGGCTCGCCTATACGTCATTCCAGGTCTCGTGAGCAGTTAGTCTGTTTACTCTGCGGCTCGGCGTGGCAGACGAAGGTCACGAAAGGACGCTAAGGAGTATATCTCGACCCGATCTCGACTCCACTCCTCAGCCTCCATCTCCTTTACACCTTTTTTTCTTTTCGCACCACCAACGCGTCCTGCCAACCACTTCAACGCCTGGTTTTTGCAGAGTGATCACTCCTTTTCACCTGCAGAGACCGTTTCTAACTCTTTCAAACACTTTGCCTGCGTGCAGGTCTTCGTTTACCGAAACATACCGTCATTATGTGTCTTGCTCTCTCCACACCTGCCTTGATGGCAGCCTTTCTTTGTTTGCTTACACCTACTGCCGCTTTCTGGCGTATGCCATGCCGTACCCGCTCTGGTTTGGCCCGAATTGACCCCCTTGTTTCGAATGGTACGATCTCTCAACATGTGCATGCCATTCATGGCTCTTCTGGTAAGTGTACTCAATCCGAGTTCGATCTCTGACGCCACCACCGCTTCGCCCCGGCGGATCTTGGTCATGATGAATATGGTGTTGTCACGTTTGCGCAATGCTAACTACTGCGGCTTAGGTTTCTCCATTGATGCTAGTTTCGATGAGTTGATTGCTGGTTCTTGCACTTCCTGTCAAGTCACTCAAGACAAATCTTCCTACTGGACTCCGGCCCTCTACTTTCAGGACGCGTCTGGACAGATCAGCTTGGTTGACCAGGTTGGAGGCATGCTTGCGTACGTCATTTCCCCTCTTTGATGCAACGCGTTTCTACTCCGCCTTCTTTTCCAAAGCATTTCTCTGCATATCTATCGGTCACCTGACAAGTGCGGGGTACCTTTCCTCCTGTTCGTGACGGAGGAATTTGCTTTCAGACAAGGCTGGGAGATTGGCGAGGTTCTCCCATCTTTGAAACTGCACCGTCTCGTTTTGAGCCATAGATCGGGAGATCAGTCTGCATGTCAAGCGAGGGCCCCTTGCTTTGTCCATCCTTTACTTTCATCCCTCTACATTGAATCATTACTAACAATTCCTCAAGGTACTACCTTCTGTACCCCAACGCTGGCAACACCAGCTTGTCTGCTTTCCCCGCAAACTTCCACATGATCGCCGGCAATACCAACTACCGCAATTTCAGCTACCCAGTCCCCGACATCCAAAAGTCTCTCTGGTACGAGGCCCCGTACAACACTCAGACTTTTCTTGAGCAAGCTGCATTGGGTTTCAATTGCCTCAACTATGGAAAGACTCCTGAGGGTTCCCTTTATCGCCACTTCATGCCAGACAAGGCTTATCTTGATGCCAATTGTGTTGATGGTATCCGTCTGGAGTTGATGTTCCCAAGCTGCTGGGATGGCCAGTCCTTCGACATTAAGGACCAGAAGGAGCACGTCGCTTACCCCTCCCAAGTCATGACTGGCGAATGCCCCTCTGGCTTTCCAATCCGCTTGCCATCTCTGTTCTACGAGACAATCTGGAACACCTATGCCTTTGCTGGTAAATCCGGTCAATTCCTTCTCTCCAACGGTGATCCAACCGGTACGTCCTCTCCTCCCTTTCCTTCAAACTTGCTAACCTTTCTCTCAGGCTGCGGCTACCATGGCGACTTCATGATGGGCTGGGACCCCACCTTCCTCCAAGACGCAGTCGACCAATGCACCAACCCGTCCGGCCAAATCGAAGACTGCCCGCTCTTCCACATCCAAGCCGAAGACAGCAACTGCAGCATTGACCTGCCATCCGCTCTTGTCTCCGAAAACGTGCTTGGTCCCATGGGCTCCCTCCCAGGCAACGTACCCATCGTTTCCGGTCCCGGTCCCGCCTCAGGCGCCACAGCTGGCTCGCCCGTCACCGGTGCACCACCCGCCCCTTCTTCCCCCGCCGGCCCGATCCCGATCCCCACGCTGAGCTACTCGGCTGGTAAGTCCCTCGCATCCACCGATACGTACATCCCGGGTGGCATCTTCGCTGTCTCGATCCCGTCCACTGCGGATATGACCACCACCTCAACTCCGATCGCACCACCAGCTGTTACACCGCCTCCGGTTCCGACTACCAGCAATACTGAGAGCTTCTTCAGCACGCAGTATATTACGTCCGGTCATGCTGTTCTCGAAATCCTTTGGGTAGAGGAGATCGTTACTGTTACAGACCCTCTCACCACCACGGTTCTGGTTCCAGGCCGGAAGCGCCACATCAATCGCCATCTGCACCAAAACGTACATTAGATGGGTGGTACAATGAGCAATGGTTGGGACATTCATCTTTGTGTAGATTACACTTGGGATCTGGCGCTGGCGTTATTTTGTGATTCTCATCTGGGGCTTGTTGTACATATGTCCACCGCGATGTGGTGGTACATTCGTGCTTGATCTCTGCGAGATTGAGGCCATTCATGATGCATAAGCATAGCGGATTCGGCGAAAAATGAAATAAGAAATTTTACAAATATTGAAAAAATGAAAGAAGAAAAAATTGAAGTGCTCCTTGATGGGGGTGAATGTGATGTTCTCGAACTCGAAAGTAACATGTCCCTTATTGTACAATATGCCAAGTAGCTGGTTGAAAGAACGAGTAACCAGCGGTACATTGGATATCTCAATGTGAAAATGTACAGGCATTCAACTGCCGGACTAGAACATGGACAAGAGTTTCTTTCAATAGTTGAGTTGCTGCACTTCGCAATGCATTGCTCCCAAGCAGGACATTGTGCTTGCCCGCCTTGAGGAATATATACTTTCTCAGCTGTGCCGTTGACCCCCCGTACTCAACAACGCGCTACTTCCAGCCCGAACATTACAAGTACTCAACCTGCTTAATGTAATCTTACACTCTCGCGGCTGTACATTTGACTCCGTGTCCTTGACAATATACTCTTACTGAGTGGGGCATTGTGCTTCTTGGTCACGAGAATGTCCCCGCCTCTTGCTGTTTAATCACCCTCTCCATCTTCCAAATATGTAATTGGCACATTTAACTTAACTATTGTAATCTTGCACTATCTCTCTTCCTGGCCGGAGGCGACATTTGAAGCGTCACCTGCTTGCAGGACATTGAAGGTGCCTGGTACACGGAAGATTGGATCTTTGAGTTTTGTAGACTACACCTGGGAAGGTTCATGGCGTTCTGCTTCTTTGAGAGTCTTACTGGTTTTCCATCTATATTCTTGTTCCTCATGTCTGTAAACAGGGCAGAGCTGTCGTCAACATCATGAAGAGGATCAGCTTCGTGAAGAATCTGTCCATCGACGATACGATAATACAATCGAACTTCTCCATAAATCTATCGTATTGGAGTGGAGTCATCGCCAGTCCGAGGCCGCACGCCGGTGCTACGGCGGCCAACGTCAGAAATGTCTTACGCCAACCCGAGCAGCTACTCGCATGTCACCTTTCCACGTGCAGAGTCGATTATTCTGGAGGAAAGCTATACTACCTCTGAAAAGAGAAGGATTTTGAATGCTCTAGTGGTTTTGCACCCTCATGCATAAATGCACAGCGATTCGATTGCGGGGGAGAAAAAACAACGTAATTTTCACAAGAGGTGAATGAGAATTATTCCTCTTTGATGACGTTATGTATCAGATTCGAGTTGAAGGATGTGCAGCTGAAGTGTACCGATGCCGTCATGCCTTGCTGGACATTAGCTTCTTTTACCATTAATAGATACAAGATTTTAGATCAACCCAATGGAAAAATCTCATTGACTGAACATGTTGTTATCTTACAGGGATCTCATTGATCCGAGAAATGTACATCATCTAAGTGACTAAGTCGGACAATGACCTTGCATTCCTCGAATACTGTACATGTTTGCTGTCGTATGTCAATTGACTTTTTCAACTTGAGAAATATATATACCAGTCAACGTCAAGTCAACTATTCTTATTCTTCACTGTACTTTTTGCATACTCGGATAGAGGAGACACTTTACCTGTCACATATATGCGAATTTACGTCGAAAGATAGTTGGGAAACAGTCTCATCTATGACTTTGTGTCGATTATCAAAAATTGACTTCATCTGTGATGGCCTTACTACGTTCATCTGATTCTTTGGATTTATGGTGCTGCCCAAGTACAGAAAGTTTGAGACGTTCTATTGAACTTCCATGATTGTTGGGTTGATTGGCATCAAGATTGTGCCGTCTATTATTGCAAAGTACATTTGTCGAATTAACAAAGTGAAAAACTTTGTATGTTGAAACTTTACTTCAACATCCCCCTTCCCATCCACACCCCCTCTCAGACTGCTTAGATATACAGTGAACTTCATGGCATCTCCTTCCAAACCCCGCGCTCTGAGCTCAGAATAACAGCTTCCCATCTTCCAGTCGCAGTTCTCTTTACAGCACAAGAGAACCCTGAACCCCGCAATCTCATCGCCAAATTGTTGACAATCGAGTCGCACCCGTTGTTCCCCTTTCACTGAAAGCGAACTTGGCTAAGGTGGGGTTGTTGAAAGCTGTGGATTCCATCTCTGATAGCACCAGATCTTGAATACCATACGCTACCATACGCTGAAGCCTTGCAACTTGGAAGCGACAGGGGGTATGGCAGAAGATGGTGTGAGCTGGTCAAGAATGGTGAATACTTGATGGAAGTGTTTCCGGTTGGTGATTCCCTATGCTATCTCAATTGTTGCCCTCAGCTGAGCTCGAAAGCTGGGATGGCGAAGAAGATATAAACCTTGAGGCGTTTGCCTCTTCAAGGTGTCGGATGGACTTGACAGAGTGATAGTCCACGAGCTTAGATTATAGTGGTTTCCGTTTTCTCTGGCCATACAAGACTATCCTGCAGCTTGTGTGGCCAATACGACGACCATGTCAGTCCAACACGCATAAAAGTGTTCTCTGCGGTGTGGATAACTCTGGCAACCAAGCAAAGGTCTTGCGTCCAGTTGTTCCAGGGAAGTTGAGCAATCCGAATGATATAGAGAGATCTGTTCCCCAAACCTATTCTATTATCAGAAGCAAAAAATATCCGTTGATCCTTCACAAATAACTGTTTCTCGTGGTGCGTCCCTAAAATCACCATTTTATCATACAATCTGGCTGAGAATCGATTGAAGTGACACTCCACATCCAATGGCCCATCTTGTATCTCTTTTTGGATGAACTTAGAAGCCCCTTCTATGATGAGTGAGCAACCACAGTACCAGTGGGCGTTCGTCTCTGGGTGAAATGACTGGTATTCTAGCCTGCCCATGGAGTGATGGCTCATCTCTTTATGTGCACCGCCAATGTACAACATGCTAACTCACAAAGTGAATGATCCATTCGCGGGGCTGAAGAAGAGCGCTCTCATTCGGTGAAGCAGCGTCGGTGGAGGCGCACGACTGGAGGCGTTTTTGGTGGGGCGTACAGCCCGCCCTTGGTAACACGACACGAGGCTGGAAAAGCCCGATGCCGGGAAGCCTCGCGGTGTTCTGTACAGAAAGAAGCAGAATGGTGCTAAAAAAGAAAAAACCGATTGGAAGATACAACAAGAGAGGGCTTGTTTGATCCCGAATAGGATATTCGGGAACAGCCAGGCGGGAGATTGATGAGGCGTTGCTGCGATGTGAGGAAGGAATGAAAAGATGTCGACCACGGTTCGTGTTCGAGGAGATGAGGTGCGTGAATGATTACAAGAGCCTAGGGGAGTTGCTCCTCCCCTCCTTTGACTTTTCCATGAGATGCGGCTTGTAGACTATTAGCGACCATACTGTCCACGGTCTCGGACATCAATAAATGGAAGCTGCTTCTTTCAGGACGATCTGACCAAGCATGCAATTGAATCTGAGGACCAACTCGAGCTCGACATGGCGGCTTGAATATCCATATCTAAACCTGAATCAAATGGCCGTCAGGCTGAGTGGAACATCTTCCATTCCATAATCTACACAACCCCGACCCCCGCAACGCAACCTATTCTACAATTCACCCATCCGATGTTCCAACAAAATTCTACCTCATCCTCTTCGCGGCTCTCTCCGCCCGCTTCTCAGCTTCCTTCTCCCACCTCTCTTTTTTCAACTGCTCCTGCCTCTTCTCCTCATACAACCTTGCCTGCTTCCTATCCGCCTTCTCCGTCCTTCCACTCAAGAGCTCCTTCGCACTGCTCATAACGCCACTCCCCGCATCCTTAATCTCATCCACCGTCCCCTTCACATCCTTAAACGCCCCATTAATGACCTTCCCTAGGACCCCATCCGGCGGATTGTTCTCCCTGATCTTGCCTAATTTCTCACTTAATGCTCTTTTCTGGGCGTTTTGGAAGCGGCCGGATAGCTCGGCTTGCGAGAGGACGGGGTTGGCGGCAAGTTTTAACTTCCCTTTGTAGGGGTTCTTGGGCTCTACTTTCGCCCCGGGGATGGCGTTACTAGAGAGGGGTGTCATGTTGAAGCGTTCTCGGAACCAAGTTTGTCGGAAGAGGGTTGCTTGGCCGAAGGACATGAGGCCGGAGACGAAGAAGGAGAGCTGGACTGCTGCTGGGAGCCACCATGTGAAGATCAGGGAGAGAGCAGGGAGACCCCACTTCATTGCGTTGAAGACGGCGGGAGAGAAAGTTGAAGTGCCCATTTCACCTCCTCTCTGCTTTATATTAGCCCACGTCTGGAAGGATGGTAAGGGAGATCGTACCCGGAGAACCCAATGCAACACGCCAGCCGTAGAAATCGGAAGCAGAAGTAGCGGATCCGGGACAGCAAGATTGGTAAACCACAGAATACCACCAGTCTCCAGTCCAGGAACTGGCAATTTAGACATAGCTCTCAGTATGACAAACGTCCCATAGCCAGCTATAACCTGTGTCATCGGGACAAAGCTCTTCCACAGACTAATGCCAGCCCTTTTATTGATCAAAGAGAGTTCTTGTCTAGCCCTCATAATCCCATCCATATCCGATGCTCTTTGCGCCTCCATCATCCTAGCCTGGATCGGTTTCGTGATCGGCATTATTTCTGACATTCGAGCTGCGTTATCTGCTGCGTTGATGTATGGCTTGAACATGATGGCGCGCACGAGGACTGATGTGAGGACGATAGAGATCCACCATGGGGTTCCGGCGAAGACATGGATGTGCTCGAGTGTCCATTCCATCAGTGCTGTAGGCCCATAACCGTAGTCTAGCCCTAGGGACTTGAGATATCCAATGTGCTCGGGGATGTTGTACAGAGACTCGGAGGTAAATTCTGTTGCGGAGTCGAGGGATGTGACATAGTCTGAAGGTGTAGAAGCTGCTGAGCTTGCTGCTCCTATTGGGGTTGTGGTTGTCGCATTCGTGACCGGAGTTGCAGCTGCCGCTGGAGTACTCGATGCATAGCGCACGCCGGCGCCATTCCGTGTTAAAATGTTTATTGGGGAGTATTGAGATCTTGTATATGCCCTTGGAATTGAAGTTGTGCTCTTAGAAAGGAGTGGAGTGGCTCGTGTGGGCCCCTGTTGTACATTTGAAGAAGAGAACTGGGGAGGTCAGCAATTGTCTAAATTTCTGCATAGATGGACAGGTACTTGTCTGGACGAAAAGGCCTCTATTCGCCGTCGACCAATGCCTATGGTTTGGCTGGACCAGCGCAGGCCTCTGCCAGGTATCATGTTGTGGAGTTGCCGTGAGCTCGTCGCAAAAATATTTTGAAGATCAGACAAATGCAGAAGAGCACAGTTTTGTACTAGCGTGATGTATCTCAATATCAAGCATAATTCTCTATAAATCGCAGCACAATCAATTGAGTTTGCTGGGGCGCCAAATTTGCTCTTCAGATTAACGAGGAGGGGTTGGAGCTCATTGTTGTATATATTCTGTGTTGTTAATTCATTTTTCAATATATTTTAAGCCTCATCTACACCAACAACCTCGGTCCATGCAAAACTCCCGAGAAGCTCCAGCCTTAAGAAACTGTGTATTTTTATGCCTCTTGCTTTGCTTTATGATGCCATCACCCGTGAGTTCACAAGGTACAATTCCCTAACGCCGCTGGTATGTGCAGTTTTGGAGTGAAGTCTGTACTCATTCCAAGCTCGTAATATCATCCAAATTCCCTTCTCTCCTCCTCCGCTCCAATGGGTCATCTCGAATCTCAATGCCTGGTCCTACAGGATGCCGGGTTCGGCCATTTGGGAATACCTGTGAACTCACGCGGTTAGCCATCTGCTTGCACAAAATATATTCCCCAGGCATCTCCGGACAGGGATTGCCGCTAGGACAGTCTACTCCAGCAGCCCAGGCATTATCTTCAGAAGAAGTGAACAGCTGCAGAACAAGGCTTTCTTACCTTTGTGCCGCCCCATCCTAGCCTGAACGCAGCCTCATTAGCAAAGAGCTCTCCAAACCCCAGCATAAGCCCATTTATGAACGGCAACAGCAGATTGATCGCAGCCCCCCGGAGTAGTCCCCAGAACGTAGGAGGAGTGTATAGAATCATCGGAGGTGAACTCGAGGACGACGGAGGAGAAGGAGAGATGTCATCGTTGCCGGAATACTGCTCCGAGTCGGAGGGAATGGTCATTGAGGATTCGGTCAAAGGATTGACTCGGTCATCGGAAGACATGGTGGGCTTCTGAATGCCTAGATACAGGCACCCAGTTCAGCGGAATCCGGAACGCGATTGGGAATTGGAGGTTGTTGTTGAGAAGAGATGCATCTATGGGTGAAGCTTTCGATATTCGGCAAATACCGGCCTAGGCCACTAAATTTGGAGAGGTGGAGCTCTGGCGGGGTGACGTTCCTGAACTGCCTTCGCGCTTGCCTTGTGGACGTGAATACACCCAGAAATTTCTGCCTCTCCTTTGCCACAAGAGGACCTTTTGCTGATACTTCGAAATTTCGAGAAATAACCAACGACATCGTACAGCACCATCGCAGCCATGGCGGATAATCAAGAGGAGCTCATCATGCAGTTTATTGACCTGACTGGCACCTCTCCAGGCAAGGTAGTCTCAGCCTCATCTGCGTTGGAATTTACGAGATACTGACCCTTTATAGGCCCAGCAATATCTTGGAACAAATCGATGGGACTTGAACAGTGCAGTCACTGAATACTTCGCCAGCTTAGATGAAGGCACTGCAGGAGGGGCCATGGACGAAGATGAGCCTGAACACGAACCAGAACCATACACAGGGCCGCGAACTCTGGATGGCAGACCGGCTCCAGCATCGATCCCAAGTGTTGGTTCAAGCTCGAAAGCCCCGTCCAAGAAGAAGGGAGGATTCGCAACTTTGGGTTCCTTAGGTCAAGCTGGAGGGGCTGGAGGTCATGCAGGGCATGGACATGCGCACGACGAAGACGATGATTCTGATGATGAGGATTTCGAACCTGGTGAAGAGCCAAGAGATCTGTTTGCTGGTGGTGAGAAGTCGGGTTTGGCTGTTCAGGATCCTTCAAACCGAGACCGAAATGACCCGAGAAAGGTTGTGAACGATATTCTTAAGAAAGCAAGAGCGTATGTTCACCTTAGTTTACCATCTGACGCCTACTAACAAATCCCAGAAATGCTGCGCGACCAGGAGGAGGTGAACCCTCGGCATCTGCACCACCATCTCGATTCCGTGGCGGCGGCATGACCTTAGGCGGAGACGATACTCCCTCCCAAGCCGTTCCCGATCCTTCCCCCCGCGCAGCCGACCCTGGCCCGACACAAACCCGCATCCTACACCTCTGGGAGGATGGCTTCAGTATTGAAGATGGACCTCTGCGCCGCTTTGACGACCCTCAAAATGCTGCTGATCTCCAAATGATCCGACACGGCCGTGCCCCTCTTCACCTCATGGGTGTTCGACCTGATCAACCCGTGGATGTCCAGCTCATTAAGCATGATGATAAGTACAAGGCGCCTCCTAAGGTCTATAAACCCTTCGGTGGCTCTGGTCAACGATTAGGCAGTCCTACCCCCGGGCCTTCTGGTACTACCACTGCAGCCGCGACCCCAGTTGCTCCTGCGCCAGCTACGCCTTCCACTCCTTCTATCCCACAACCTGAGATCGACTCCTCGCAACCCACGCTTTCCCTGAGAATTCAGTTGGCGGATGGTACGAGGCTGCCCGCTCGTTTCAATGCTACACATACCATCGGCGATATCTACGGCTTTATTGCTCGAGCTTCTCCTAGCAGCAATGAGAGACCTTGGGTTTTGGCCACGACCTTCCCGAATAAGGACCACGTTGATAAGAGCTTGGCTTTGGGTGATGTTGCGGAGTTCAAGCGCGGTGGAACGGCGGTTCAGAAGTGGACTTGAGAATTTGTGCACGGGTGTGAGCAAAGGATGGGAAGCATAGATGGGGATGGCGGAACCTTTTCCTTCCAATTCGCGTGATGGTCACGATAGCACGATGGATGGCGTTTCGAGGGTGGATACAACATATTGCATACGTTCACCTAGAAGAGCGATAGATAGAAGCAAAAGTCATGAATTTTTCGACGTGCTTGGATTCCATACTTGCCTCTAAAGTTGTGACACTAGCTTCCCATTAGACAAGTGTCTCTCTCCCATTATCGTTTACTCATTTGTTTTTCTGCTTCTTTGCAGGGTGTAATCGCTGGACAACAGATCACTTTGTGTCAAGTTGATCCGCATTAACCGTTGTAAGCTGGTGCGATCCAACCCCGCGAGTGCTATCTTGACTTCCACCCCATTCCCAATGACTGATTCGCGGCCATCAGTTCGAAGGGCCGCATGCAGTATCAACACCTAGAATTTGGGTTTGGGCATCCCTCCGAAGTCTTGAACTTCATCCAAAAGAACTTTCATCGATTCCAGCTCGCATCAGCAATTGGCCTTCTCAACAGGGTTGACCGAGTCCTCGGACAACTTCTCGCCGGAGATGGCAGGGAGCGTGAGTGCCAGAAAGGAACCGGAAGCAAAATCTGGGTTCAGCTTAGCATCGCCTCGTTGTAGATTGTTTTGGAGAAACTTGGGGGCCACTCTGCTTGCTTTCACACTGTCTATCCTCTGCTGGTGGGTTAGTGGATTTCGATTTGGACCACCACAATAAGGTTCTATCCTTTTTCAATGGGACCAGGTACGCGACTATATTTTTTAACTCGAAATCAATTGACTGCGTGCTCACTGTTTCCTCCGCACACGTATCCACCATGAGTCCAACTTCCATGCAGCAACCCGGCTGTTCCTTTGATACTCGATACGGGCTCAAGAAATACACAGATCACACTCAGTAAACACCTTGCCTGCCATGATTGCTGGAACGGTATGTAATATGCGAGACTCGGGGTAAGCTTCATCATCGACACGAGCTACGGGGAAACTAATGGTCAGGCGTATTGAAGTTTCCGATGGACTGGAATGAGACTGAGCCAAGTGCTAAAGTCACCATTGCTATCACCAAACTTCCAGCGAGAGTCTCCGTCACTGATCCCCGATGCAGGGTTTCTCTGAGTTATTTCTTCTCTTTCCAGATCATTTCGAGAGCCGCGAGACATGTTCCCCCCCCCCCCCCAAAAAATGTCAGCTGCTCTTGGATCACGCCTAATCGTCTCAACCCCATTTCAAGAAAGCAATGCTAACTCGGAAATCTTCCGCCAGACGGCGGTCCTATCCTCATAAATCCGGGTCGGCCTTTCACTAACCCTTACAATAGATAGCAATACTCTAGATCCTACGACCCCATTTAGCAGGCGAGCCATGATATCCATAGTTCATAAAATTTGGGGCACGATCGAAAGGTTGGGAACTTACTTACAACAACACTAATTCAATGCCAAGAGAATCGCCGCTGTATTTCCTGGCCCTGTGGTATTGGAACAAAATGCAGTTGGCTTGAGTCGTCAATTTCTGTCTTGGTACCTATTCGCAAAGCTAATGAAATATAAGCACTGCTCGATCGCGGCCCCCTCTTTCTGCACAGCCAAATATGTACGTCGGTATTTCCAGACCGGAGAAATGACAGCTGAAAATATGATTTGTGAAGTCGACGAGCTTCCGTTCATTGGAATCCGTTCAGCACGTGGCAACATTGCCGCGAAATGAGGAGGACCCTCAAGAGCCCTCCAGTTTCAGACAACCGAAGATGCATTGGATGCACAAGTTGTCATCCAAAAATAGCTGACTAGTTCATATGCTATCTCTTCAATAGCGTTTAAGGCAGAGGACCCGAAGTGTTTCCAAGTGAAATCGGTCAATGAGCGAAGACGTCCCCCCTTTCTAGCTGGCTGTGACCTGTGGGATGTGAGTCTTGTAACGCAGGAGCAAAACACATTAATCCAACTCTTCGGGATCCCGACTGTAGACGGAAATCCGGAATACCATTTTATCAAATCCGTCATTACGGGGGAGCAGCTGACTTGGGTAGCTGCATCGCCAAGAATGGGGCATAAAGGCGATCTAAATTCGGCAACCCTTCCTCGGGACGCACCCGTCGGAAGCCTGAACATCTTTACCGCCATCTTTCGTCCGAACAATCAAAGGTTGAGCCGAACGCGAGAGTTCCATGATTGAGACTAGTGTCCAGGGTGGTGTCCCTAAGACCAGGAACCATTCCCGCAGTCGTGTTCACGGTTTCGATACGTTTTCGTGATGCAAATCGCGTCTTCTCAGAGAATTTGCCTTTTACTTTAACGTCATTCCATGGCTTATTCTTGAACTGCATCTCTCTTTTCACAAACCCTCTCTTCTCATCTCACCACCAATCTCTCCTGTTCACAGATTCCAATCATGTCTCCTCCCTCGCCCCAAAAGAAGCACATCCACCTCAACTTCTTCGAAAACGCCTGCACAGGCTCCCACATATCCCCAGGACAATGGCGCGACCTCTCTGACAAAACTCATGGCAAAGACCGCCTCCCGTACTGGCTCTCCTTAGCCCAGCTAGCGGAAAAAGGCAAAATCTCATTCATCTTCTTCGCAGACTCCTATTCCCTCTTCGACATCTACTCCTCCTCCATTTCTCCCATTCTCCGCGCTGGGGCTCATTGCGCTGCTCTGGACCCCATGGTGTTAATCCCCGCTATGGCATCTGTTACTAAAACGGTAGGATTTGGGGGTACGGGGAGCACGAGTTATCTGAATCCTTACATCTTGGCGAGAACAATGAGTAGTTTGGATCATCTGACAGAGGGGAGAGTGGCGTGGAATGTGGTGACGAGCTGGAGCAAAAGTGCTGCATTGGCGTTGGGGAAGGAAGATGTCGTACCGCATGATAAGAGGTATGAGGTTGCGAGCGAATATATGGATTTGGTTTATCGGTTCTGGGACAGTAGTTGGGGGGAGGAGGCGAAGGTTTAGGATCGGGAAAATAGGGTAGCGTATGATGCGGAGAAGGTCAAGAAAATTGAACATAAAGGTTGGCCCTTTTATTCTGGTCTGGAAATGGAGTTACTGATGAGAAGACAGGACAATATTTGAAGGCTTCTTCCCCACACCAGACACATCCTAGTCCTCAGCGAACACCTGTACTATTCCAAGCTGGCACTTCGAAAGTGGGGAGAGAATTCGGATCAAAGCATGCAGAAGCTATATACGTTGGTGGGCTGGTCCCATCCCAAACCGCTCCGTCGATAGCGCAGATTCGAGCAGGTGCCTCAGCTCAAGGTCGGGACCCGCAATCAATAAAATTCTTCGTGGGAATTACACCTATACTCGGGGCAACATTGGAGGAAGCACAAGCAAAATACGAGCGAGCGAGAGAAAATGCTGATGTAGCTGGTGGCCTCGCACAGTTTTCAGGATATACAGGCATAGACCTCAGTAGATTCCCACTAGACGAGGTGTTTGAACTCAAGGATGCGCCGGGCGACGCTGCCACGCATACTTTCCTTGAGAATTTCAACAAGGCGACTGGGAATGCTGAGCCTTGGACTCCAAGAAGGTTGGGTGAGACGATGGCCCTTGGAGGGTTTCATCCTGCCCCTGTCGGGACTCCCGAGATGGTGGCGGATGTTTTTGAGCAGTGGATTGGTGAGGCAGATGTTGATGGTTTTAATATTGCGTATGTGACGAGTCCGGGCAGTTTCGAAGACGTGGTATATCTTCTTCGACCGGAACTCGTAAAGCGGGGTTTGATGTGGGAGGATTATGATATTCCCGGTGGTACTCTCAGGGAGAATCTGTATGGCGTGGAGGGGCAGAAATACTTGAGGGATGATCACTATGGACACAAATTCAAGTATCCGAGCGACTTCGAAGGCGATACTGCTGTCATGTCCAATATGAAGCAGGAGGTAGTGAACGGTGAAAAGAGCGAGGTGACGAGCAATGGAGTAATCAAAGGCGGGCCAGTCACTGTGGATGAGAAAGCTGCGTTACACCAAGCTGCATAGTCAATTTTAAAATTCCCAAAAAATCTTCTGTACGTCGAATAGTCGCAGCAATCATCTGTTGACTTTGGACGAAAAACGCTAAGCGAGAAGCCCTTGAAGTCGCTCGCCACAACCTCCAAAACACCAATCCTCTTTCTCACTCTTATCCCTTCTTCTCCGTCTCTTCCAAGAACTCAGTCCAACTCTTCTCAATCCCCTCAACATCCCTGTCAAGCCCGAAATTCGCCCCTCTAATCTCCACCGCTTTCACACCACTCCTCAGATCCTGCACGTACTGAAAGTACGTCCAAAGCACATCATCCCTCGCACACATTAACATCACTGGACACTTCACACCCGTATAAATCCTCTCAGCATCCTGCTCCCACACGGCCCCATAAATCAAATTTCTCCCCTTCCACGCCCTAACATGATCCAACACCTCTCTCTGCCACAACCCCAACTCATCTCCAATCCCCATATTTCCCAAATAGTCCCATGTCTTCAACAGGTGGCTACCATCCTTAACCGGTTCATTGAATGGAGAAAAGTATTTCCCTTTCATCGCTGCCCTCTCCGTTGCAGTCATAACAGCTGGACCCACGAGACATATACTTGAGACGAGATCCGGGTACGTGGCTGCGATCTCCGTAGCCAATACAGCGCCAGAGTGGTGACCGATTATGTGGACTTTGGGCGTGAAGAGATTGAGGGAGTGGAAGACTTGCATGAAGATCTTGACGAACCATTTGGTTCCCAGAGTTGAGATTTCTGTGATGTCGGAGGGTGAGGGGTCGAATGAGTTTCCGAAACCTGGCATGTCAGGCGCGAAGCAGGCGTAGCCTCGGGAAGAGTAGATGGTCATTAAGAACGTATAGGACGCGGATGAGGAGGCGGATTTGTGGAGGAAGAGTAGAGGTGTGGGTTTCTTGGGTACATCTTGGTATGGGAGAGCAAAACGATAGTGGATCTGCCCGCATGTAGTGTCGATGTAAGCTTTTTTGATTGTTGGGGATGACATCTTGGAAGGAGCGTATGACTTGTGAACCGAAAAAGGGAGCAAATGTGAGCTTTCAAAAGAAGAATGGGTTGAATGAGATATATTCATGGCGGCAAGGGTGGGGATGTTGGCACCTGCGGAGATCGGTTGCCCGTCCCGAAGACACTGGTCTCTCATTTTCAGACTACTCATTTGGCTTGTGTGCCATCAACTAGCTTTTCCATAACTAGATTTTCTACCGACGATCTCAGGTATAATCATACGTTACGTAAGATCAAAACCGCTCCAACGGAATCCTGCGGATAAACGACGGTTAATCCTTCCTCGATCCCACAATTACACATCTTTCGAAGAAGCAGCAACCCGAGACTTCTCGGGATCACTTGCTGTGTCGGGACCACTATCAGCCATTCCGTCGATAACCTCGTTATGTTCATTTCCTAACAACTCCCTCACGTACGGACGACCCGGCGGCGGAGAGATTAGGCAGATAACATAGTAAACAAGTCCACCCCCAAGAATCCAATGAACCAAGCTGCCTGGAAGCATTTTAACCATCCGGGAGCCAGTTTTCTTCCCGAGATTGCTTGCACAAACCCAGCTTTGCTAGTATTAGCATACAGACGTGAATATGTGAAGGTTGGCTTACGAAAAGAAGGCCAGATTCCGAGTGTCCAGCCCAGAAATGCACGCCAGTTAAGCCCAAAGGCAAACCAATAGATCGATGAGCTGTTCCCAACATACAGATCTGGTACCTTCCAGTTTCGTCTTCTCACCAACCAACTGCATGTCTGTTAGGCAGCGGAGGTGGTTTTTAGATATCAAGACTTACAAATCAACTGCATTGATGGCCGCAAGTGGAGAAATGAACATCCCAAAAGAGTTCAACACCGTGATGAAAGTTCCCGGTGCATTAACAAACCGCCAAGGGTTAATCAAATAGCCCACAAAACACATTATTAGACTCCCTCTTTTGACATCAATCCAGCGTGGAGCAATCGAGGCTAGATCCATACCCGCTGCGACGGAGTTTTGCACCAGGTTAACCTATTCGTCATCAGTATCGGAAGTGAAATTCAGGCGGTCACCATACCGCAATCTGACTCCAGAAAAACCCAAGACCTCCAAAGAAACACCCAGCTCGCGTAGCGGCATTATAATTGTGCGTGAGTAAGAACTCGAGAAGCTGGATGGGCTGCCAATACGCTTTTCCATACATGTTTTTAACAGCACCTGTTGCAAAAACGCCGAGCATGGCCGTTATTGTAATTGTGAACGGCACTGTGAGCAGTTGATTCAGAACTGGAGCACGCTTCGTCTTGGAGTATCGAGTCCAGTCGGCTTGTCTGATGCTACTCCCAGTCCACGAACCTGCAACGGAACTCACTGCTTGCAGCATACGGAAGCTACGGGTGTTGAGGGACGAGTCAGCTGGCTCCTGAAATATGATCACTGCAGATGGCCATATACCTGCTGGAGACCACAATACTCGGACCCAATACGGAAGCTCCTCCATTCGCAGCAATGGCCCAAATGAACAACCCTCCCATCGTGGCCACAGAAGCTCCGAAGGCATACCACAAGTACTTATGGTACTTCGTGGGATGGACAAGCATTAATGGAGTAAATAATATGATGTAAATAATAAAGCCAATGAGCTCATTTGTTGTGATAGCTGCGGATGCTGGCAGTGTGTTGATCATGTGCTGGAAGGACGGGAAGATACTCGAAAGCACCACTTTCACAGCGAGCCCTCCCCAGTACGCCTGGATACCGAAACTGTCTGGAGTAAGTAGAGATCATTGATCAATCGATATTTGCTACAATACTTACTAGATAAAGTTGACGAAGCATTTGAGCATTACGACGAAATATGAGCCATACATCCCGAAAGATGCTCTGCTCATCATTGGAAATCCGCAGTGATATTGAACCTACAACCCAAATTAAAAACTGCTGAACAAATTGTCTGCATTGAAAATGCAAAGAAGATCTTACCCCAGGCTCGCCGCACACGAAAGCGATCAAACCAGCAAGAACAGATCCCACAAAGACCATTCCGATGGCCTCGCCTGCTGTAAGTCCATTTGCAAGATTACTGGAACCCAAAGACCAAGCGGAGGAGTTGACTGCTGCAGCAACCCTGTGGACGTCAGAATGGTTCGACAGAATTGGACGTATGGGATGCAACTCGCCAGAAGCCAAAGTAACCTTTCGCAGTGTAGTTCCGTTCATCAGGAGGAGCAGGAATAATGTCTCGATTTGTCCATCGATTAAACGACCTATCATCTTGTCCTTCTTCCTTCACTTCCCATGAAGTAAAGGTGCGAGGAACATGAGCAGTATGGCCCCTGAGGGTCAATGAAACCATCGTTGTAGTGAGCGTTCAATGGATCTGGATGTCAAGGTGCAGTAAAGTAAAAGAAACCAAAGCCTCATCAGCTGGTCTTAAAGAGGAAAATGTCTAGCACTACCATTATTTCATGGTCTCCAGCTGGGGTTTGTTATCACACAGCTCTTGGCTCCGGCAATAAACAACGTTCCTGAATCCTGACAATCAAGATAGGGGCGGCAGCTAGGGTAACTGCCAATGCCAAGAAATACGCGTAGAGACTTCGGGAGGGGTTCCGATGTGGTGGTTGATCTTGTCCAAGGTTCAACTGGACATGGTGGAGACTGCTAAGTACCGAAGATACGGATGGTGGATAACAGGATGCTTAGACCTTGCAGATAGCAAAAAAGATAAGAACAGTGAGTGGGGGGTAGGATATCGACTTGGGGAGTCGACGGCTATTCATGCTTTATCCCACCTTTGATGTGGATTCAGCTGTTTTCAAGAGTGCGGTGTTTCTTGGGGATCTTGATTGTATGCGAATCAGCGATCGAAGCGCTTTTCGAAATGTCGGAGGCTCCAATCCAAGCGTACGACAAAGAGGCTCTCGTTCAACGAAATCCACACGCAGACTTTCCAACGATCGAAACCACAAGACCAAACTATGATCCCACGACTTTTTGGAACCCAACTAAGACTCCAAAACCATCATGGAAGCCTGGAGATGGCGCTTCTATGAATGGCTGGTATGGAAAACCAATGGTTGCCATTGATCCTCATCAACCAGGCAGAACAAGCAACCAGAACTACAAGTTAATGATCTTCTCCACGGTGCCTCGTCCAATCGCACTAGTCAGCACGATATCCGCGGACGGAAAGCGTCAGAACTTAGCACCATATTCCTACTGTAGGTACTGGTCGAGAACGCGTCCCTATTTACGAATGTTTCGTGATTTTCTCCTGATATCATGTCATCTCCCGAAACCATTTCAAGCGAGCATTGCTGACTTCCCCGTTATATAGTCAACAATGTGGCCAGTGATCCGCCAATGTACAGTATCTCGTTTGCTGGGAAAGAAGCCAACGACAGTCTTACAAATCTTTTAGAAACGGGAGAACTGTGTATCAGCATAGTCAGCGACTGGTTCTTGGAGGCTGCAAACTTCACCTCGGTAAACACCCCTCCTCATCTGTCAGAATGGCCACTCGCCGGGCTACACCCTCTCAAGAGTTCCAAGGTTCGACCGCCGCATGTGGCGGAATCTGCTTTCAGTATGGAATGCAAGCTTCATAGCGTGACGCCATTGTTCTCGAAAACAAAGGTCAACAACGATGGAACTCCTGAGCGAGCGAATACCTTGGTGCTGGTTGAAGCAGTTTTGTTCCATGCAAGAGAGGACGCGATTGACCGGAAAAGGGAGACCGTGGATATCAAGGTTTTGAGGCCTGTGTGGAGGGGTGGAGGGATTACCTATGGCACCTGCTTTGGAGGATGGGAGACACCGAGACCAGACTCGTTCAGAGCGCTGAGAGAGACTCAGCCTATCAAGGACATCTTACAGACAATCAAATCCCTGGAATGAAGTGGATTTAGAAGAACCGTCAGGGAACGATCTCACTCAGTAGACTATATCAGATCGTGGAACAGGCTGCATGATTTGATAGGTATTGTGAATACTTCTTGAATTGTTCCAAACTAGAGGGGCGTACGACTCATGTCAAAGTCGCCAATATCGAAACCGTTAATGATATCAAGGTTATCGAAAGTGAAAAGTGATTCGTCGAAAGCTGACTGTTGCTGAAAGTCAATCGGCATTGAGTAATCCTGGGCCAGAGGGGGCACGATCGAGAATGTATTCGCGAGTGAAGGTTGCCCCGGAGACTGAACAGGGCCGGCGAAGTCCTCGAACAGCATTTGTTCTCCTGCCATATCTGCAACAATCTGAGTCACCTCGGAACTGCCCTCCTCGTTGCTAGTCATCGATGGGAGGAGATCGGGGTAAAGCCGTTTGATGGCTCGACGCGGCTCATACTTGTTCTCCTCGACGGACTCTAGCAGTGATTGTTTGACAGCTTCGTAGGTATCTCGGTACTTTTTTGCTCCCGGCCATCGTTCCGTGATGATGTATAAGACAATACTGCAGGCATTCATATTGTTGGAAGTCTTTATACTGAACACCTCTTGGGGAGAAATCCAAGTACAGTACACCAATGTGAGTCCTGGACGCGTTAGATGAAAGTATTTATGGGCAGAATTATCAACGTACCGGCGAGGAAAACAGAATGCAGTGCCATCAGAGAAAACCCAACTGGTATGCTTTGATGTAGTTTCTTGTAAGTCTGACAAACATCTCCGCAAGCCTCAGCGCAGAGCTTCAGAAAACGAAGATTCGTATCCTTTGTTGAAAGAAGTGGATGGAGTAGGAAGCTCATGCATTTGTAGTAATAAACCATCTGCCATTAATCTTGTCAGAGTTTATGGTACGTGAAGTAAATAGAGTGTACATACGTAGTAGCCATACCCATCGATTAATTTTGTATCCGTTGTTGTTGTTGCCTTGTCAGCGTTGTGCCTTCTCGCATCCCGTGGAATTTTATCTTTCCATTGTTCCAGTTGTCGAATAAATGACTCGACTTCAAATTCAGTGGCATTCGTCGAGTTGTCCACGCGATATATGCTTTGCTGAATTTGGGACTCAATACGTCGCAATCGACAAATGTGGATGAAGCAGCTTAGAGAGGTGGATATTGTTGGGGTCTCATCTGCAGGCGTAGACTGAACGTTGCTTAAAGCAGCTTCGAATGCTGCAACATCCTGAATGGATTCATCGATGTCAAGCGGCAACTTTCCAAGTCAGCATTCGGCAATAAAACAAAGCAGGAGTAGAAGAAATACCTCAGCATCGATATCCCGATCCGATATTGCAAATGGCCGACCAAGAATAATAGAAATTTGCCGATCAAGGCAGTAACAGGTCCAGAAAATTCTCTTTCGCATTTCGACATCTAGAAGAGGGTATTTCTTCACAGGGGTCTTGCGGTGAAGACCGAGGTCTATGCAAGTTCTAAGTTATCTGTCAGCTGATGTATGGCTAGTAAAATATAAGTAGACGGCAAATCAGTGGTTCGCTCACCTCATTGCCAAACCAATGTACGTCCTGGCAGTCGGAAATTAGCATGAGGTTGCAAGAGCAATGATAAACACTTACCATGCCCCAGGTCCTTTAGGTGCCCGAAGACTATAGATAGCCAATAGTATCAAAATCTGGATGGAACGAATGTCATGATACTGAAGCATCTCGTCCAAGTACTGCATGCCGGCAGAATTGGTGTCGGTCTGGGAAGAAAGCACCGGTCTCGCCAGTGGTCTCCAAAAATCGAGCTCCACTGGCATAGACAAGATGCAGGACACTCCTGTCGTATGGATCGACGAGGGTATCTCGGCTATGATGGAGGGTTCGAATATAATTGGAGTGCAAGATTGGCTATCAAGTTGATATATGTTTCAGATAGCCCATGAGAAGCTTGTCTGCAATATTCCCAGGCATACCCCCCAGTTCTAGTACCGAATCGCCATCGAATGTTCCATCGGAGGATGACTTTGGGCTGAGATGTTCTTCGGTCCGGAGTCCAAGGTCAGGCTCAACTCTGGACTTCACAAGGGATCCTACCATTCGGCTCATGGTAATACTGGATGAAGCGCCAATATAACCACCGCTGGCTTCCAACGAAAGATCTCTGAGTATGTCCACCACGGCATTGACATTCCTGTCTCTTGTGTTGCCTTCCCACTCCACACCGGCCTCAATATAATCTTGGGATGTATCGATACATGGTCGTTTTGGTGGTCTTTGCGTTGGCTCTGGTACGGTCAATTCATTCGTATCTGGCTGATCAACAAGCTGTGCTGCCTGCAATTGACGCCATTGACTCTGCCCTTCATCCAATATACCTTCTCTCAACAATATCCCTTCCAGCTCAGCTACCCGGTCCTCTGCTGCCCTGAGATATGGGTCACGACTTCGAGGAACTGGAGGTTTGATGTATAGGCAGTCTGCATTGAAGCTCCTGCAATTGGAGCAGGTTGGTGTTTGTCCATCACATTTCTGTTTTCGTTTCTTGCATCGTTGGCAGGCCAGAGCTACACGCGGACGCCTTGGTGACCGTGTGGCATTGTTCTCCGAACCATTACTTTGCCTATCCCTACTCTCGGATGGAGAGCCGACAGAGATCTGATTGTTGGCGGTCGATGGCATCGCGTCGAAGTGAGGCCGGTTGAGGGGTCGTCTGAGGTAAGAGAGTAAGCATATTGATGGACAGATCCACTGGGATCGAGATATATTTTAGAGTGCCCCATGCTGCCTTATCGAAGATGGAACTCGTGAAGAAAGATAAGAGGTGTGGAGAGTCATGTTTGAAAGTGGGGCGTTGAGCCTCGTGGTTGACAGGGGTTGTTTACGACTCGTTAGTCAGCGTGCTGTAGTCTCAACCTTACACGTCAAGGACATCGCGATTGGCAACTTAAACAGGTACTCGTACCCCCCAATATGAAGGAGAATGATGTAACGAGTTGGCATATCTTTGCTTGTACGAATCGACCTCTGTGGTTGGTCAACTGACAAGTTGTCTGACAATCTCATACTTCACTCGGAGGAGACCGCAAATCGAGAGACCTATGAGGGGAACAAGATGGCCTATGTCATTTGACAGGGATGCGGCAGGAAATTTGCAGGACATACATGACATGAAGGAGGTGTAATGGCAACACACGATTGGCGGGATGGAGTGCAGACAGTACCCTGAGCCGAGGGAGCAAAGTACTGTCTCAAAATGCCTTGCAGGCTTGCTACTTGGTCCTATGACGCTTATTGTTGGACAGAAAGAGGACAGGCAGTCTACAGGATGACGGCGAACTGACCATAGGCCTCACAAGACTAGGTTGTGCTGATAAGAGAGGTCAGGCGGTGGCAGGGGGCAGATCAAGAGAATGTGTTGTCAGTTGCATATGCTCTGTCATATTGGTAGTCGAGCGTAACTTTTTTCTTCTTCATCCCAAAGTCGGTTAGTAAGCTCGCCGCTTCTACTCGGGCGCTAATTACACTCGGCTCACCCTCTCCTCACCTAGCTCACCTGAGTAGCTTGAGTAACCTGAGTAGTCCCTAAGTAGCCCCTGAGCAGTGCCCACTTCTCACTTACGTATTTGATCTCTAATTAGACTGGATATAGACTAGGGCCTTTTTATTTCATTTTTGTTAAGTTTTGGCAATGATCTCTGGAAAGCCTAAACAGGCTCTCAAGGATCCCGAACTAGACCCTTATGAAAATAGATCCACGTTATGTTATGGGTTATTACCTACAGTAATGGGGTGTCTTATTCAAATGAAGAAATTGGTTTGTTATAAATCCTCTCCCTAATACTATTTATAACCGAATTCCCTTACTCTAATACAATTACTAAGCTATTTCTAAACTTCCTATTTATATATTACATATTCTATACCTCTATAATCTTTTATTTATTATAATTTATTAATAATCTTAATATTACTAGACTTTTCTTATATTAAAATATAAATTATTAAAGGATTTTATTATTATAAAAGACTCTAGAATTAAAATAATAAAGATTATTTCTATAGTAATTATAGAATAACTAGAAGAAAAAAAGCTAGATATATTACTTATTTATTACTAAGAAGGCTGAGCTAGACTCCTAAATAAGCTACTATTATTATTACAAATCGTATAGTAGTAGCTTTCTCTTATATTAAATTATATATATTTTTTGAATTTCTTTTATCTAGTTTATTTAAACTCTAGATTCTAAATTTCAAGCTATAATATATTAACTAATATAAAAGGAGTTCTATTACTATAAACTCGATATTATTACTAAATAACTCTAATAGCTTTCTAATTATATTGGCTTTATAAGAGAGAAAAGCCCTGAAATTAAAGAAAGAGCTATAGAAAGCTAAGAATAATCTTAAGAAATTAAAGAAATAATAGATATATTATAATAAGGTTATTATATAATAGAACTTTTACTAGTATTATTAAGTTATTAATTTTAATAATCTATTTAGTCTTATTTTATAGTTACCGGAAATTAATAGATATTAGATAGCTTCCTTAGATATAAGGGAAAACTACTCTAGCTATAAACTTTATTAGTTATTAAAGGCTATGTCTTTTTAGCTTGATATATTAATTATAAGTTTAAAAAAACATTATTATTTATATGTCTTTTTTATATTCTTAAGAGAATAACTCTTATTTTTATTTATTATTCTCGATATTATAATAGATCTTTTAGAAATATATATAAAGAGGTTAGGTATTATTACTTTATAATAAGAGAAGTAATATATTTTATCTAGAATATAAATAGAAGCCCGGAATTCTAATTAGTAAAGCTAATTAATAAGGAAAATACGGATTTTAATAAAATAAAAATATAGTTATCTAATTATAAAAGCCTTTATAACTAGAGCTATTAGATTTATAATATAATATAATTATATAGATTAAAGCTTATTAATTATATTATAAAACAAATAGTTATTATAAATCCTAATAATAATTACTTTATATTTAGCTATATCTAGAAAGCTATAAAGAATTCTTCTTTATATAGGTTATCTTATAATAGAGAAATTATATTTCCAGATATTATTTTAAGAGTTATTAAGGATACTATTCTTATTATTTAATTTCTTAATAGCTAATACTTCTAAGTTAATTAATTCTATATTAATTAAGAAAATAGCTAGAAAAGATATATTTAAATTAGTAATATAAATAAGATATATAAAGGAACTATTATAACTATTATAATAGTTTTTAATAATAAAGCAAATTCTAGTCTTCCAAATATATTATATTAAAAACTTTATTAGCTAAGATTAAAGATAGGAAATATAATTCTAGCTTTAATACTTTTATAAGGCTTTGCTTTATTAATAGCTTTAATTTAGGTAACTAGAGCCTGGATTTATTAAAAAGTAATTATTTCGAAATAATATTTCTTTTTTATATATAGTTATAGACTATTATAAATCTTTATTACTTTTAATTTATAAGTTAAAAGTATAACTTAAAAGAATATATAAGAAGTTTTATATTAATCTTTTTAATATTAATAAGAAGTTAAATAAGGTAAATAGAATTAGCTTCTAAGAATTTTTTAATAACTTTTAATAATATAAAAGTTATATTTTAATATATAATATAGATTTATTAAATACTTTTTAAAGAGTTTTAAATTAAAGTAAGTACTTAATTATTTAGGGTATTCTAATTATTTTAAATTAGCCTATAAATAATAATAAAGATTTCGTAATTAGTTTTATAAAAGAACTATAATAGGAAAATCTAAAATAACTATATAATTATAAGCTAGAACTCAAAATTAGAACCTTATAATATTTCTTCTTTTATTAATTATTAGTTTACTAGTAATATATAGTATTATTTATTATATAGATATAGAAATACTAGTTATATTAGGTTAGTAAAGTTATTATTATTTAGAAATAGGGATTATAGTATTATAGTATTAATATATAATCCCTAAATCTATTAAGCCTAAAGAAGTCTAGTTTACTAGTTAAGTTACTAATAAAATACGAGGTTATATAATTATATCCCGTATCTCATATCCTATTACCTATATCCTATTACTTATATCTTATTACTTATATCCTATATTTCGTATCCCGTAACTATATATATAACTCTCAAAGAAATAGCTATACTAATACTAGAAACTTTCTAAAAAATACAAAAAATAGTATTTCTCTCTAATTATATATAAATTCCCTAATCTAGTCTAATACTAGATTTTCCCAAATACTTTATATATTTATATTATTTCTGAGGTTTTAGTTATATATTAAAGGCTATAGCCTTTTATATATAACTTCCCCTCTTATAATATCCTCCTATTCCATATATCTATTTCCCGCTCTATTTGTATTTAACTTATTCCTCTATATCTAATTATATAATATTTATATTAATTAAATACTTAAAAGTATTTATTAGCTTTAATTTTATTATGAAATTAGCAGGATTTAATTCTCCCTTAATCTATTTAACTTCTATAATCTCTCGTTATTTATATACCTAATAAAGATATATTATATTAATTATTAGATACTTTTCTCGAGTAGTTCCTAATTTAATAAGGCATTTATATAATAACTTTGAATTTATATAAACTACTAGTAATAGTTCTATTTCTAGTATTCTATTAATTATAGATTTAACTAAAGCGCTTATATTAAAGCTATAAGCTATACTATAGAGTTCCGAAGCTAGAATACTTCTAGTAACTTTCTTATATTTAGTAGAGAACTAGTAAATAATATTAGTATATCTAGTTCCGTTTACTAGAACTAGAATATATCCGATTTAGAAGAAGAGATTTCTATTATTTATAAATAAAGTATTCATAAAAATAATTAAATATAAGGACTTCTTTACTAGCTTTATAAATCTTAGTTCTCTAATAATATTCTTAATTTGCTATTAAATATACTTATTAAATACCTTTATATTAGTTTCCGAAAGTTTAATAGCTTAAGTAATAATTAATAGATTATATAAAGCTTCTAGTTAATAGACTAATATAATATATACTTCTCTAGTATATTAGGTAATATATTAGTCCTTAATAGAAAGATCTTAATAAATAGTACCCTTATTACTTATAGTAGTAATATTCTTTATAGAAATAATTCGGAGGTTTTTATACTAGTATTCCTATATAAGAGTAATTCTAGTAGTATTTATATAAATAATACCTCTATTAAACTTGAGATTATAGTTAATAATAAGGTATTTATATTTCTTGGCTAAAAACTTAGTCTTTTAGAGCTTCAGTTATTCTATTTTTATAAAATTATTATTTCTAATAAATAGAGTATTATTAATTTAAAGGCTAATAATTCCGAAGAATTACTTATTATAAAGGAGGTAAGAGTTATAAGTTAACTATTTCATAAAAAGCTTATTAATATAGTAAGAATAGTAAGTCTTAAACTAGTAGTTCCTAGTTTCCGGTATACTATATAGTAGTTTTATAATCTTTAGAACTAAATTATTATTCAGATTTAGCTCTCTAGTAAGCTTATAAAATAAGTTAATATAAAAATTATAATTAAGTAAGGTTATTAATTAGATATAAGCTTGCGAGATATTATATAAATATAGCTCTATAATATCTATTATTATAGTAGTAATACTAAGAATAATTCTCTGGCTAATATATTAAATAATAAGTA